ATTAGTTATTTTTGTTTTAAAAAATTTAAAAAATTTGTTTAGTTAAAAATAATTTTTTTGTTAAAAAAAATTTAATTAACATTATGGTTATCAATACTAGTGTTATTGATTACATAGTTAATAATAAACAATTGTCATCAAGTAAAAAATACAACAACAAAAAACTAAACAACAAAAATTTATTTATTTGTTTGTTTGTTAATTATATTTTTAACCTAATCATATATCTTTAAAATAATAGTAATAATAATTATACCCACTATTGACAAATAGGATAGTTTTTTTTTGTTAAAAGTGTAATAAACAATTTATTAATAATAATAATAATAAATATATATATATTGAATAGAATTTATAAATATATATACTGTATATAATAATTAAAAAAACATTTATTTTATATACTAAAAAAAAGTTTCAAAACAATCAAAACTATAAATATATATAATATTAATCTATAAACCGTATAATCAATTATTAGATAATTTTTAAAAATATATATATAAACTTTTTATTATTATTATTATTATTATTATTATTATTATTATTATTATTATTATTATTATTATTATTATTATTATTATTATTATTATTATTATGGTTTTTTCACAATTATTTTAGATTAATAAATACTATAACTTATATATTTACTAAAAATTTTAAATATTTTTAAAAAAAATTAACAATCAAATATTCTAACAATCAAATGAAGTAAAGTAAAAACAGCGAGACCTAACCACATGCCAAGTAGTCCACCTAAATTACAGAGAAATTCAATTTGACTCATTTGGGGTACATGTTGGACCAGTTGGTCTAAATGAGCGGAATGACTGATATAAACTTGAAACATTGATTCGTCCCATCGACTTGTTTCAATCTTTTGTTGGTCAACCAAATTCATAGTATAGTAATTTTCATAGCATGGATCCGGGCATTTCTTATTGCAACTAATACGATTGGGTAGATCACATGTTCCGCGAGATAATAGCATTCGGCACGGTTTAGACGACATCATTTCAGTCAGGTTTTTCTGTATCAGTTTTGTACTATATGGTAAACAATTATTACAATTAACAATATGATTTAATTTAACATTTTTATAACAACAATTGTTATTAGCAGTCATAAGTTTTTGTTGATAGTAACGGAATCGGCATTCGGAAGAGGTGCGCGAATTTTGTTTATCATCACCGGTATGATTATAATTATATAGATTATACTCTTTACATTTTGTATCCCATGTGGGCGGCAAACGTATCATTTTTATTGTTGAGTAACCAATAGTATATTTATTATTCATATGTAATTTAAATATACTTTCGGTAAATTTATGATAAGGTGTGTTGTTCGCTGAATGCATAATAAGCGATAACGCCTTTTTCTGGTACAGTGTTGAAGGGAACCAATATTTATTATGTTGAATCTTAATATATATAGAACTCAAAATAGTTTTATATTGTATATAATCGGAATTAAGTTCCGTAAAAAATGTAAAGCATTTTTCAGGATTTGGCCAATTAATTAGCGATACAATTGGTCGATAATCCCAGAGTTGTGATGTTGAATTAATGTTGTCATATTTATTAATATAAACTATAAATGACCCATTATATATATCGGTTAAATTGCTTACCCTATATGGCAGGGTTAAGTTGTTATCGTAAATTTCGGATAATGGCTAATTTTTTTTATAATAATAATATACAAATGTATTATACATAATTTCTAACTTGTCTTTGACTGATTTATTCACCGATACTCTACCATCTAAACTGTCTACGAGATGTTTATATTTTGCATAACTGTCCGCTAAATCTTCGGGAAACATTTTGGCCAACGCTTCCATATTTAGACCGTACGGAAAACAAATGGTAAATCCTGGCAGCGAATCATTTTCAAATGTTGTATACATTATTCTGGCCAATGTCTTACCACTACTATACTGATGAAACAGTATTAAGGAATGGTATAATAGGAACGAACTGCACAAACCAAATATTATAATTTTAATTACTGTCCGACGGCGTTGTTGACGATCCATTTCAGACCATTTTGTTTTAATATTATCGATTACTTTCATATCTTATTATTTTATTTAAATAAAAAATAATTATTTATGTAACAAATATATGAAAATTACAAAATAACAAAAATATTGATACTTGATTTATGCATTATATATATATATTCATTATATACAATGTATATATATAAACTTTATAGATATCAGGGTTAAACATGGATTTTAATTTCAGAGGGGGGTAGGGGTAAAGTAATCGGCAAAATAAATAATAAATATATGATAAATATATCTTGACAATATTTTTTTTATTGCATCTTTATATGAAAATATTTTTAAAATTTCTAAATCAAGTTAATCTATCAAAAAGATTTTTTTTAAATTTAATCAAATTTTAAGTAATTAACAATAAATTGTAATTTAAATAATAAATATCTGTTATTAATTTAATATGTTTTTATAATTACTTTCTTATTTATTAAAAAAATCTATTTTAAGTTTTAATTAATTATATATTGTAATGAAAAAGATTTTGCATAAAAATGTATAAATTAGAAATAATTTTCAATAATAATATATTTTTTAATAAAATGTCTTTTCAATATATATTATAATTTAAATTATTATTTTAATCTTAATTTTAATAGCAAAAAAAATTTTGTTTGATTTAAATTTAATTGATAAAAATTTTATAAAATTGGTGACACTTGATATACAGTGATGTAAAATAACTAAACATTTAATATTAAACAACAAATAAAAACTGTAATAATAAATGTATATCATATGACTTTTATATAATTTTTTATTTATTCTAAATGCTATACAATTATATATTTTTACAAATTAAAAAATAAATAATTATTTTTTTGTCTGATTTTATATGAAATTTAATTAATTAATTAATTAGTTTTCTATTTTGAACTTTATTTTTATAAAAGTTAAATTTTTTAAATTTATTTTATATATTTAAACTTTATATCAAAAATACAAGCAATTTTTATTAACAAATTTTACCTAAATAGTTATTTTTTACTTTTATTTATTAATTAGTTTCACATATTTTAAAACTGTATATTATATTATACAGGTTAGCCCCAATTCCTGTCACCTGTATATCAGACCCTAGATTCCTGTATAATACAGGCGGCACCTGTATGGGTGGTCAGTCTAGATACAACCCAGGGAGCAGATACAACTCAGCTATACCAACCTCATCGTTACCATTAACATGATATTCAATACTATTATTATTATTATTATTATTATTATAGCCAACAGTGTCACTATCCATATCTATAGCTTTAAACACTATTATCATCGATAATAATAATAATAATGGTAATAATGTTGAGCATCTAATTGAATAAAACATATTATAATTATTAGTAAATTTAATATAAATATTATATAACTATTTTTAAAAGCGAAATTAATAAACTAGATTTTTATTTTTTTAAAAAAACAATATAATTGTCATGTTATTAATTAAAAATTTTTATATTCTAGCATCTGTTTAAATAGTATTGTTTTCAAGTTAAAGGAAAATTTTATTTTTTGTCAATTCATTTTAGACCAACCGGTTAACAATTGTTTATTTAAGATTTTAAGTAATATTATTTTTAGTATATTACTAAAAGTTATCATTTTAAAAATAAAATGTATGTGTATGTGCATGTATATGTATATGTATATGTATATGTATATGTATATGTATATGTATATGTATATGTATATGTATATGTATATGTGTATGTGTATGTGTATGTGTATGTGTATGTGTATGTGTATGTGTATGTGTATGTGTATGTGTATGTGTATGTGTATGTGTATGTGTATGTGTATGTGTATGTGTATGTGTATGTGTATGTGTATGTGTATGTGTATGTGTATGTGTATGTGTATGTGTATGTGTATGTGTATGTGTATGTGTATGTGTATGTGTATGTGTATGTGTATGTGTATTTGTATGTGTATGTGTATGTGTATGTATATGTATATGTATATGTATATGTATATGTATATGTATATGTATATGTATATGTATATGTATATGTGTATGTATATGTGTATGTGTATGTGTATGTGTATGTGTATGTGTATGTGTATTTGTATGTGTATGTGTATGTGTATGTGTATGTGTATGTGTATGTGTATGTGTATGTGTATGTGTATGTGTATGTGTATGTGTATGTGTATGTGTATGTGTATGTGTATGTGTATGTGTATGTGTATGTGTATGTGTATATGTATGCTTTTTTAATATAATAATAACTATGTTATTACTATAAATAATTATACTAAAATTTAAAAATTAAATAAAATAATAATAATTAAACAGTTTATTTAATTAAAATATAAGATCTATAAATTCTACGATTAATAAATTTATAAGATTTTATATAAGTTTTATAATAAAAAATTTTATTTTTAAAATGATTATAAATTTTATAAAGCTAATAGTATTTACTTGTTAACCGGTTTGTCTAAAATGAAATGACAATAAACTAATATTTTCTTTTAACTTGAATACAAGTGTAAAAATAATTTTATTAATTTTATTAATTATTGTTAGTTTAATATATTTAGAAACAAGTAAACAATTAATTAACAAAATTCTAGAAAAACCAATCAAATATCAATACAGCATAAAAAAAAAGTACATATCGTATGATCAATGATTTTGTAATAATTATTTTTTAAAAAAAAGTTATTATAATAATCGTTTTAAAAATTATTTTTAAAAATGATTATTATTTTTATTAATTAACTAATTTGAAAGAAAAACATTACTTAATTTCAAACAAAAGTTAACCGGTTTGTCTAAAAAAATGATTTAACAAAAAAATTTTATTTAAAAAAAATCTAAAACAAAACTATATAAACAGTTTAAAACTTTACAAAATTTACAACAATATCTAGAATTATATTAATTAATTATAATTATAATAATAATAATAATTTTATTATATAATGTTTTATTCAATTAGTTGTTTAACATTATTGATGTTAATAACGATATGTTCGTTAGCTATAGATATGTCCGACCAAACTGTTGGCTATAATAATAATAATAATACTATTAATACTAATAATAATAATAGTATTAATGATTTTCGTGTTTCCGGTTCAAATACAAAAGTTGTCTATCAATATCAGGTGCCATGGGTTGTATCCATACGTAACTGGAAAAACGGTGATCTCATATGCGGTGGTGTTATAGTTGATAAGTATTGGTTACTAACATCAGCCCAATGTATTGCCGAGTAAGTACTATATTATTATTATTATTATTATTAGTATTATTATAATGATTAAAATTAAAATCAGTGGCTAAAAAAATTTCATTATCTTTAAATAATAATTTTCCATTTTTTAAATTAAACAATTTTTTTAATTGATTGTTATTATAAAAATATAAAAGTTTTTTTTTAGTATTAAAAGAGTAAGTATTATGATTAAGTATAATAATAATAATAATAATAACGATAATAAATTTCTAGCCTTTAGAATATAAACAAAATAGTAAAAAAAAAGTTATTATTATTATATTAAACAAATTTTTATAAAATATTTATCTAATTGCATATATATATATATATATATATATATATATATATATATATATATACATATATTTTTATGTGTTGAATAAATATAATGATCTATTTTATACAATACATATTTATGTATATTTTAATTTTTATTTACTTTATTTATTTTTTTTGTATATGAAATGTTTAAAAAAAATATTATATATTATTTAAAATTTTTATTTAAAAAATTAAATTTACAGTCGATCGGAGGCATCAATGTACATATCGTCGGGTAGCAGTGATTTGAAAACAATTAAACATAAAAATAATGTCGATAAATTTGTTTTACCCAACGGTGCATCACGAACCAAACTACCCGAAAGTCAAGTGTATGTGTATTTAATTAAATAATTTATAAAATAATTTTTAAATATTAATAATTATCTAATTAATTAAAAAGTTATATATAATTAATATTTATTATTATTTTTAAAAAAAATACATATCTTAAATAACTCTATATTTTATTGTTATTTATCTATTTAGTTATTTATTTTTCTTATTGTATCAAACTACTTAAAAATATGATTTTTTTTTAAAATTAATTAATTTAATATTAATAATACTAAAAAATAAAATTTACAAACAATTAAAACAAAAATAAACTATTGTTATGCTCTCTCCTCTCTCTCTCTCTCTCTCTCTTGATATATAGTAATCAACTAACAAACAATATAGCAATGATCAAAATTAAATCACCTGGATTCGATTTTAAAGATTCTGTTAAAGTTAAAAAGGCTAAATTAGATCAAGATCCAAACATGCGAGGCGAGGAACTGTATGTGTATGGTTGGGGAAAGCCTACAAATGTTATGGGCAAAGAAATCTATCAAAATCAATTGGAAATGACTAAATCTAGTGTTTTTGATGAAAGTTATTGCAACATAAAATCAAAATCTAAAAATCTAATTTGTTTGGTTGGTAGTAACGCAGGAGCTACATATGTAAGTTTTTTTTATGTTTAAAATTATAATACTAATTAAACAAAATTTTTCAAAACAAAACTAAAATTATTTAGTATGTTTTTAGAAAGATTTTATTTTAAATAATTTTAATCATGTTATATATATATATATATTTCTAGTTTGACCGTGGTGGTCAAGTAACAGGTATACATTCAACTGATATATCCGAAGTAGTTGGTATAATATCGTACACTCACTACGATATTAAAAAAAGAGCTGTTAAATATTCAGTGGTAACTTTTGTACAACCATATTTGAGCTGGATTAAATCAACAATTAAAACTAAATAATCAATTAATTAACACACAAATTATATTGAGGTTTTTTTTAATGCAAAGATTGTTTTATGCTTTTTTACTCATTATAATTTGAGTTATTTTTTTTTATTAATTTATAAATACATTGCTTTATATCAATATTTATTTGTATTTTTTTTCTTATACCTTTTTATTATATGGTAATATAATTGAAAATAAATATATTAATTTTAAGTTTAATTAACATGGTAAAATCATTATATGAACGTTATTTTTATAATATATAAAAAACTTTTTTATAGCAATTTAAAGTTGCAGGTAAATAAAATAGATGCAATTACATATTATGAGTAAATATAAATAAAATATATAACGTCTGTCAAACTTAAATAGACCTCAAAAAATTACAAATTAATTTAGCCATAAATAATGTTTGTTAATATTTGAAAAATTAAACCCCTTATATTAAAAAAATAAAAAAATATATATAAATAAATAAAAATAAATACAAATAAATAAATAAAAAACAAATAATAAAAAAATAATAAAAATATTTATTTAAGTATTTTCGGGACAGCAGTTCCTTTATGTTTCAAACAATATTTAAGTCGAGGAACAAAATTATTAATTACAGATTGAATTAAATTTATATCACTCTTAATAATATTAAAATTTTTAATTATATGTTGTTTTAATTCAACTAAATTGGTTGGTTTATGTGGAGTACTCCAAACCATTGTTTTTAATTGGTTCCATAAAAAATAATCACAAGGATTTAAATCACTTGAATTACTTGGCCATATAAATGCTGTTTTCAAACTTATTATATTATTGCCAAAGTTTGTCTTCAAAAAATCTAATGTTTCCTTAGCTGAAAAATAATAATTTATATTAGATTTATTAATAATTTTAGGTGCTTTCATCGTGATATGGTCCTAGATAAATACCGGTATGACTTGACGCTCCGTCTTGTTGAAATACTTGTTTAGTAAAATCACATCCATTGAGTTATTTTAACTCTTCAATAAATTTTTTAATTAAAGTCTGATAACTCTCTTTGGTTACAGTAACTCTCTTTCCGTTATCATCTTCAATAAAGTATGGACCAATCATACCTTTACTCGAAATTGCTATCCAAACTGACACATATCCTGGATGTGCTATCTTTTCAACAAATGTAGATTTCGGCTTTCCTTTAGATTTGTCGCTTCATTTCCTATTATTCTGTTTGTTGATGAATTGTTCCAACAAAAAGTGACTTTCATCGGAAAACCTGAAAGAATCGGTGCTTTCAGCGTGATATGACCCTAGATATTTATTTTTATGACTTACCAAATGTCTTCTAAATATTGAGGATTTTTCATAATTATTTTTAACATTTTTTTACAAAATACGACTCTCATTTTTTTTGAATTTGAAGTTAATCGCTGAACATAAGTATACTTATACGGATGTTTTTTAAGTTTAGTTTTAAGTATTTTATTAACAGAACCTATACTTATAACTTTATTATTAATATTCATTTGATTTGTTATTTTTCTTATGGTTTTATACTTTGGCAATAAATTTTTCACTTTTTTAATATTTTCACTATTTATAACAATTTTTGGTTTACCACGTTTTAAATTTTCCACAGTATTTAGATCTTTAAATTTTTTAACTATTTTTAATATTCCACTTTTATGTGGTGGATTTTTATTAAATTCAGTATTATATTTACTTTGAATATATAAAATTTTATTTTTGAATTCACTATTTGAAACAAAATCATAATAACGATTAACTATAAAACTTCTTTCATATTTACTATAATATCTATTATTACTTTTTTCCATATTTAATATTTTACTTAAATCAAATCAAATCAAATCAAATCAAATCAAATCAAATCAAATCAAATCAAATCAATTAAAATAATAAGTATAATAAAAATAACACGTGTGGTGTACTTTTCCACAAAATAATAGTAACTAAATAACACAAACTCTAACATTAATATAAGCCCCTATACCTGTTATCATACATTATTTATCTGATAATTTTACGCGCCAAAACAGAGGTCTCCATTTAAGCTGTATAGACGTTATTTATTTATATATTTATGTTCAAAATTGTTTTATAATTGTTTTTATAAAACTATTTAAATATATAGATTAATTTTATAATATAATAGTAAAAGTTAATTAATATTTTTTCAGTTAATTCATTTTTAAACTAACCGGTTAACAGTTGTTATAAGCAGTTATATAAAAGTTATAATCATTATTAAAATAATTTTTTTTATTATAATAATCTTTTACAAAAAAAATTAAAAAAAATATTAATTGTACGATATATAGATGTAAAGTACTAAAATATAAATGTATTGAAATTTGATTGGTTTTTCTAGAATTTTTGTTAATTGTTAACTCAATTATTACTTAAGTTGTTTTTTAATATAAATATTTATATATAATAATTTGTTTTCTATAATTATATGTGTATGTGTATGTGTATGTGTATGTGTATGTGTATGTGTATGTGTATGTGTATGTGTATGTGTATGTGTATGTGTATGTGTATGTGTATGTGTATGTGTATGTGTATGTGTATGTGTATGTGTATGTGTATGTGTATGTGTATGTGTATGTGTATGTGTATGTGTATGTGTATGTGTATGTGTATGTGTATGTGTATGTGTATGTGTATGTGTATGTGTATGTGTATGTGTATGTGTATGTGTATGTGTATGTGTATGTGTATGTGTATGTGTATGTGTATGTGTATGTGTATGTGTATGTGTATGTGTATGTGTATGTGTATGTGTATGTGTATGTGTATGTGTATGTGTATGTGTATGTGTATGTGTATGTGTATGTGTATGTGTATGTGTATGTGTATGTGTATGTGTATGTGTATGTGTATGTGTATGTGTATGTGTATGTGTATGTGTATGTGTATGTATATGTGTATATGTATGTGTATGTGTATGTGTATGTGTATGTGTATGTGTATATGTAGATTCTCCCGTTAAATAGGTAGGCTTATAGCTGCAGACGAGCTACCACTTATAGGCAATGCGGTAAAGGTGTGACCTATACAATGACCAGCTTTGGACCCGAGCTTAGAGACAATTGTTGCGGCGGCTTAGCTAATACACACTCATGTTGCAACAACTATAATCACCCATAAGCTAATGACTATTATAATCACAAACACAGTGTATAATATATTTACAATACTTTATTAATAATATAAATGCGTTAAACAATTAAACTGATAATTAATATAATTAAAGCTATCGGCCAGTACTACGCCAACACACCCATACAGTCCACTGACTGCTAAACACACTTAGACTGAACCGTCCACTTCGATAGCTAAGCCAACTCTAACCCAACTACTGGTTTCAGTCCACCATTACATTTAAGCTCACGTGTGTTGAGGCAGCACTGGTAGCTAAGCTTTTCAACTTAAATAGCATTTTATAAATTATAATAAACTTTAAGCAAAATATATATTAGCGTAGGGTTTGAATCATTACATTCCCCACCACTTCGATTCACGCCCACGTGAATAGCCGAATATAATAAAAATAAAATTTAAATACAAAAAAAAATAATTTCAACCGAACGCTTGTCCCTTCCCCACTACTTCGCTAATTAGTCCTCTAATTACATCCATAAGCGTTCGGGTCAACCATCCGGGTTGTGCTGCTGTTATGTGGAGCTTCGGTAGCTTTTCCATTGCGCGGTGTCTTCAGCTCCACTTGAAAGCCTGCGCTGGATATGCGATGCGATTGATGTTTTCCTCTATCAAACACTTGGCTTTTAGTCGGCATTTCATTTACATAATTCTTATGTTTGTCGATCTGTCGGTCTTTAAGCTCTTCGGCTTTTAGCTGCGGTTTGTTTAGCTGTCCTCTTAATCGCTTGAATGTCTTTAATGACGATCCGGTATTCACGCTGTTGTATGTCTTATAGCTTCTCATATCTGTAATCATATCTGTCAAACAATACTTAGCTAATGCGTCCAAAAACATTGTATCGCTTTCAATAGTTTCAGACATTGTCGTTGTTTTAGCGCTTTCTTGAATTCCCGACATATCTCTTGAATCAACGCTTTCTAATATTTCTGTTAAATCTGTTGATTCGGCGCTGTCTTGTGTTGTCTTCACATGTGTTGTTGCGGTGTTTTCTTCGATAGCTTTTCCGTCATTATTGTCTGATTCATGAGTTAGCTTATCGACGGTTGTTGTGATTACTTCTTCGGTAATATAGCTGTTATTTTTCTGTTGTTCCGATTCTTGAGCTAAGCGTTTGTCCGTTTGTTTAGCTCTGCTGTTGGCTATTGTGTCGACCACTTCTTCGCTATTATTTCTGACAATCTGTGGTTCTGTTTCTTTTGCTAAGCTGTTGACGGTTGTGGTCATAGCTTTCACGTTTGACATAAATCTCTGCATTTCTTCTCTCATTTCTCTCATTTCTTTCTCTTGTCTAAGCCTCTGGTCCTCCAAAGCTTTGCTTAACTCTTCAACTTTTGCTTTGTCTGCCATTTCGTCAGCTTCTGTTGCTATGCTATCGGCAATCGTTTCTACTATTTCTTCGCTGATATCGCTATTTTCTTCCTTTCCAAGAGCTGCTACTTCTTTGATTACAACTGTAATCGCTTCCGACGCTTGCTTTGCTTCAACTCCTATGCTAAGAGCTTCTGAAGCCTTTGCTATAACAGCGGCTGCTGTTGTCGTAGAGTAGGCGACCACTGCTTCGTTTCCTTCCTTACGATCAATAGCTTCGTTCCCCGACAGTGCCAATCCTTTGGTCACTTCCCGGTCTCCACTATGGCTATCGTCAAAGCTTTTGTCCTCCGCGAGTGCGTCCACCATCTCTCCCGAATCCTTTGCGTTGTTTCTAAGCGTCTTTGCGTTGGTAAGCTCTTCCGGTACTACTTCTGTCTTCAGCGATTGGTGATTACAATCCTTGTCCTTCAAAAAGCTTAATTGGCTGAATAGCTCCTGTCTTTGGCTTTCGTCTGTCGTTTTCTGCGCTTTCTTTAAAATCTCAATGTCCTCAAAAAACAGACTCATATCGACATAAAAACCAGCATTAGCTTTGGCGATAATTTCTTTAGAAATGGCATCTATTTGAGCTTTAGGCGCCATTTTGTTTTTCATTTCGTCCGTAATTTGCTTAACTTCAGCTTTTCCTAACGCTTGTCCCGTGCGATCCCTTTTAGCTCTTCGTTGACACGATGTCTCTCTTCGAGGTCCGGCTTATTGCGTAAATTGTTGCTTATATGATGGCCAATGCAGTCCACGAAACTGGGAGAACGGGCGCCTCCACCAGCTTATGTAACTGCTCTCTGGTCACTGCAGTTCACGAAACAGGGAGAACGGGCGCCTCCACCAGCTTATGTAACGGTAATATCTGCTACGGTGTCACCAAACGGTACGCCCACTCGTAGCAGATAGCTTGCGATAGGTTCGGGAATCTGGCCTCCGAACCACTTGTAGATTCTCCCGTTAAATAGGTAGGCTTATAGCTGCAGACGAGCTACCACTTATAGGCAATGCGGTAAAGGTGTGACCTATACAATGACCAGCTTTGGACCCGAGCTTAGAGACAATTGTTGCGGCGGCTTAGCTAATACACACTCATGTTGCAACAACTATAATCACCCATAAGCTAATGACTATTATAATCACAAACACAGTGTATAATATATTTACAATACTTTATTAATAATATAAATGCGTTAAACAATTAAACTGATAATTAATATAATTAAAGCTATCGGCCAGTACTACGCCAACACACCCATACAGTCCACTGACTGCTAAATACACTTAGACTGAACCGTCCACTTCGATAGCTAAGCCAACTCTAACCCAACTACTGGTTTCAGTCCACCATTACATTTAAGCTCACGTGTGTTGAGGCAGCACTGGTAGCTAAGCTTTTCAACTTAAATAGCATTTTATAAATTATAATAAACTTTAAGCAAAATATATATTAGCGTAGGGTTTGAATCATTACATGTATGTGTATGTGTATGTGTATGCTTTTTTAATATAATAATAACTATGTTATTATTATGAATAATTATACTAAAATTTAAAAATTAAATTATAATAATTAAACAGTTTATTTAATTAAAATATAAGATCTATAAATTCTACGATTAATAAATTTATAAGATTTTATATAAGTTTTATAATAAAAAATTTTATTTTTAAAATGATTATAAATTTTATAAAGCTAATAGTATTTACTTGTTAACCGGTTTGTCTAAAATGAAATGACAATAAACTAATATTTTCTTTTAACTTGAATACAAGTGTAAAAATAATTTTATTAATTTTATTAATTATTGTTAGTTTAATATATTTAGAAACAAGTAAACAATTAATTAACAAAATTCTAGAAAAACCAATCAAATATCAATACAACATCAAAAAAAAGTACATATCGTATGATCAATGATTTTGTAATAATTATTTTTTAAAAAAAAGTTATTATAATAATCGTTTTAAAAATTATTTTTAAAAATGATTATTATTTTTATTAATTAACTAATTTGAAAGAAAAACATTACTTAATTTCAAACAAAAGTTAACCGGTTTGTCTAAAAAAATGATTTAACAAAAAAATTTTATTTAAAAAAAATCTAAAACAAAACTATATAAACAGTTTAAAACTTTACAAAATTTACAACAATATCTAGAATTATATTAATTAATTATAATTATAATAATAATAATAATTTTATTATATAATGTTTTATTCAATTAGTTGTTTAACATTATTGATGTTAATAACGATATGTTCGTTAGCTATAGATATGTCCGACCAAACTGTTGGCTATAATAATAATAATAATACTATTAATACTAATAATAATAATAGTATTAATGATTTTCGTGTTTCCGGTTCAAATACAAAAGTTGTCTATCAATATCAGGTGCCATGGGTTGTATCCATACGTAACTGGAAAAACGGTGATCTCATATGCGGTGGTGTTATAGTTGATAAGTATTGGTTACTAACATCAGCCCAATGTATTGCCGAGTAAGTACTGTATTATTATTATTATTATTATTATTATGATTATAATAATAATAATAATGATTAAAATTAAAATCAGTGGCTAAAAAAAATTTTATTATTTTTAAATAATAATTTTCCATTTTTTAAATTAAACATTTTTTAATTGATTGTTATTATAAAAATATAAAAGTTTTTTTTTTAGTATTAAAAGAGTAAGTATTATGATTAAGTATAATAATAATAATAATAATAACGATAATAAATTTCTAGCATTTAGTATATAAACAAAATAGTAAAAAAAAAGTTATTATTATTATATTAAACAAATTTTTATAAAATAGTTATCTAATTGCATATATCTTTATATAGTACTGTATGTTGAATAAATATAATGATCTATTTTATACAATACATATTTATGTATATTTTAATTTTTATTTACTTTATTTATTTTTTTTTGTATATGAAATGTTTAGAAAAAATATTATATATTATTTAAAATTTTTATTTAAAAAATTAAATTTACAGTCGATCGGAGGCATCAATGTATATATCGTCGGGTAGCAGTGATTTGAAAACAATCAAACATAAAAATAATGTCGATAAATTTGTTTTACCCAACGGTGCATCCCGAACCAAACTACCTGAAAGTCAAGTGTATGTGTATTTAATTAAATAATTTATAAATTATTTTTAAATATTAATAATTATCTAATTAATTAACTAAGTTATATAATTAATATTTATTATTTTTTTTATAAAAATACATATCTTATATAACTCTATATTTTATTGTTATCTATTTATTTATTTATTTATTATAAATATGATTTTTTTTAATTAATTAATTTAATATTAATAATACTAAAAAATAAAATTTACAAACAATTAAAACAAAAATAAACTATTGTTATGCTCTCTCTCTCTCTCTCTCTCTCTCTCTTTATAGTAATCAACTAACAAACAATATAGCAATGATCAAGATTAAGTCACCTGGATTCGATTTTAAAGATTCTGTTAAAGTTAAGCAAGCTAAATTATTTCCAGATACAAACATGCAAGGCAAAAAACTGTATGTGTATGGTTGGGGAAAGCCTACAAATGTTATGGGCAAAGAAATCTATCAAAATCAATTGGAAATGACTAAATCTAATGTATTTGCTGAAAGTTATTGCAACATAAAAAAACAGTCTAAAAATCTAATTTTGTTTGAGTTATACAGGTGCTACATATGTAAGTTTTTTTTAAATACTTAATGTCATAAAATTATAAAAATTATTGTTATTTAATTTAAAAAAAAACAAAAATCATAATAATAATATTTTTAGTGTATTTAGTAAGTTTTATTTTTTTTTAATAATTTAATTATAAAATTTTTGTTAAGACTAAAAATTATTATTTATTTTTAAAAAAATACAAAAAAAATAATAATAATATTTAGTGTATGTTTAGTGAGTTTTATTTTAAATATTTTAATTATGAAAAATTTTAGTTATGTCTTACACAAAAAAACAATAATAATAATAATAATAATATTTTTAGTGTATTTAGTAAGTTTTATTTTTTTTTAATAATTTAATTATAAAAATTTTTGTTGACTAAAAATTATAAAAATTATTATTTATTTTTAAAAAAATACAAAATAAAAATAATAATATTTAGTGTATGTTTAGTGAGTTTTATTTTAAATATTTTAATTATGAAAAATTTTAAGTTATGTCTTAAAATTATAAAAATTATTATTATTTATTTTGTTACACAAAAAAAACAATAATAATAATAATAATAATAATAATAATAATATTTTAGAGTGCTTTCAGTGAGTTTTATTTTTTAATAATTTTAATCATGTTATTTTTATATATATATATATATTTCTAGTTTGACCGTGGTAGTCAAGTAACAGGTATACATTCAACTGATATATTCAAGGTGATTGGTATAATATCGTATACTCACTATGATATTAAAAAAAGAGCTGATAAATATTCAGTGGTAACTTTTGTACAACCATATTTGAGCTGGATTAAATCAACAATTAAAACTAAATAATCAATTAATTAACACACAAATTATATTGAGGTTTTTTTTAATGCAAAGATTGTTTTATGCTTTTTTACTCATTATAATTTGAGTTATTTTTTTTTATTAATTTATAAAAACATTGCTTTATATCAATATTTATTTGTATTTTTTTTCTTATACCTTTTTATTATATGGTAATATTATTGGAAATAAATATAATAATTTTAAATTTAATTAACACGGTAAAAACATTTTATTAACGTTATTTTTATAATATATAATATACTTTTTATAGCAATTTAAAGTTGCAGGCAAATAAAATAGATGCAATTACATATTATTAGGAAATATAAATAAAATATATATTTATTTATATATTTATGTTCAAAATTGATTTATAATTGTTTTTATAAAACTATATAAATATATTTTTTAAAAATGTTTTATAGTCTTTAAGTATTCATAAATTATTTATGATTAATTAAATTAATTCTAATATTTAAAACTAGTTATATTAACTAAATCTAATTGTTTGCTTAATAATTGTTTAACAATTTTAAGAAATATTATTTTTAATCTATTAATAAAATTTATAATCATTATAAAAATAAAATTTCAAAATAAAAATATTGCAAAATTATTGATCGTACGATAGTACGATTAGTACAATACAATTTTATTGATATTTTATTAGTTTTTTACAATTTTTGTTAAGTAACACTAATAAGTAAAACTAATAAACTAACAAAAAATTCTAGAAATACAAATATAACATCAATATAGTTGTATAGTACCTATATATCTACATTATAAATTGTACGATCAATTATTTTGTAATTAGTTAAAGTTAAAATTAAAGAGAAAGAGAGACAGACAGAGAGAGAGAGAGAGAGAAAGAGAGAGAGAGTAAAAAAGTAAAAAAAAACCTAAAAATATTTCTGCATCAAAAAAAACCTTAATATAATTTGTTTTATCTATATGTATGTGTATGTCTGCATTAAAAAATTATTATTTTTGTATTTTTTTTTTTAAATTTATTTAGTTTTAATTGTTTTAAATAACAAATAATTTTCGTGTATATATGTTTGTGTATATGTGTGTGTGTATGCGTATATATGTATGTTTATCTGAATGTATATGTGTGTGTGTATGTTTATATATGTTTGGCTATATGTGTGTATTTATTTTTGTGTATGTGTAAATGTATTTATGTATATGTGTTAATGTTAATGTATGTGTGTGTGTATGTTTGTAACTTTTATTTTAAATAATCTACACATTAATTAGTCTTAATTGTTTTTTGAATCCAAATCCACCAAGGTCTCACTGATGATACAATTGTATATTTTTTCGCATTTTTTTGTGTATCATAGTAAGTATATGATACTATACCAGCTAATAACTTTTGACCATTATGCTGTACAACTACTGGTCCACCACGATCATACTATAGCACGTGTTAAAAAAATTAATTAAAATTAAAAAAATTTATTGTTAAAAGACTAAAAATTTCAAAGTCTATTAAAATGAATATACATATAAAACCATAAAAGAATATCAGTATTGATTTTGTTTATAATTAATTTGTTTATTAAAATTCTAAATCAGTATATAAATATAAATAATTATAATTAATTTATAAATTTGTTTATATTATTATTGTTAAAGATAAAAATAATAGAACAAATTGCTAGCTAATTTATAGAAATTTTTTTGAAAGTATTAACTGTATATATATTTATAAATAATTATAATTAATTTTTCTTATATTATTATTGTTAAAGATAAAAATATTATTTAAAAATAATTAAAAAAAATAAACTTACTCGACTAGCTCCATTGGTTTTACTATACAAACAGTATAGATATAGATTTGTTTGTTCAACACTACAATAATCATTTGAAAATATTTTTATCGCTAACTTAGTTAATCTATCATGATAGGTTTCATTAATGGTTGATCGACTAGTTAAACCTATACTACCCCAACCATATACAGTCATATCTAAACTATCAGATAACTCCTTAGTTAAAAATGGTTGAATTTTTTGGATATTTTTATTTTGAAAATTGAATCCAGCTTGTTTAATCTTGACCATTGCAATGTTGTCTGATAGTTGTTTGCTAATAATAATAGAGAAAAAGATAGACAGAGAGAGAGAGAGAGAGAGAGAGAGAGAGAGAGAAAGAAAGAAAGAGAGAGAGAGAGAGAGAGAGAAAGAAAGAGAGAGAAAGAAAGAGAGAGAGAGAGAGAGAGAGAGAGAGAAATTATTTAAAAATATTAACTATAATTAACTATTATACCAGTTTAAGTCACTTAAAAATTTTAATTTGAGTAAAATATTATGTTAATTATTTAGCAAGGTAATGTATATAACTTACCTATTAAAGATAACTGTATATCTTAAGTTACATTGTTTAATGCAAAGTTAACTGTACAAAATAGTACTCAAATTTAAACTTTTAATTAGCATTATCTGTATAATATTTATTTAAATTTTTGTTATTTAAAAAAAACAACTTACACTTTACTATCAGACAGTTTGTTTTTGTCTGTTAAATCAGGAAAAACAATTTTATCGATATTATGTTTATGTTGAATATCGTGTAACTTATCGCTACCCGAGACTACAAACATGTTTTGAATTGAACGACTGTAAAAATATTTATATTAAAAAAATAAGAAACAAAAATAATTATTAAAAATTATAAATTAATTAATTGAATAAATTATAGTAGAAATAAACAAAAATAGTATATATATATATATATATTGTTCATTACATACATACGTATTTACCTATACAGTACATACAGTATATATATTAACAGATATAAAAAATATAAATATTTTAACATATATATATATATATATATAATGATTATAAATTATATATATATATATATATATATATTAATATTTTTTTATTTGTTTATATAAATTACCCGGCAATACATTGTGCAGTCGTAAGTAACCAATACTTGTCAACTATAACACCACCGCATATTAGTTCCGCATTTTTTTCGGTGTTACGTATGGATACAACCCAGGGAGCATCAGCTATACTAACCTTATCGTTACCATTAACACGATATTCAATACTATTGTTATTAGTATTATTATTATAGCCAACAGTATCACTGTCTACCATATCTATAATTTTAACCATTATTATCATCGATAATAATAATAATAGTAATGATGGCAACAATGTTGTTGTTGAGCATCTAATTGAATAAAACATATTTATTATTAGTAGTAGATTTTTTTTTTAAACTAGATTTTTATTCAAAATAAAAACTAAATAAAAATTAACTAATTAACTAATAAAAACTTATTCTAATCAAACATTTGTTTAAATAGATTTGTTTTTGAAGTTAAAAGTTAATTAATTTTTTTTTTATTTTTGTCAATTCATTTTAGACCAACCGGTTAACAGTTGTTAGGAATTTTCAGTAATAATTTATAAAAGTTATAATCATTTTAAAAATAATTTTTTTTTATTATAAAAATCTCTTACAAAATTATTACAAAATCATTTATCGTACGATATATATACTGTAGATCTAGAGTACTATACAATAATTGTATTGATATTTCATAGGTTTTTCTTAAAATTTTTGTTAATTAATTGTTTATTTAAGTGTTTCTTATGTTGTTTTTATTATACAACCAGTTGAGAATGCTAAAAAAAATTTCCATGATTACTTAAAATCAAATGTTTTAATATGAAAATTAAAACTTAAATTAAATTAGGGTATTAAATAACTCAAATAAATTATTAAATTTACTATAAATTTAGCTTGAATTTAATAAAGTATTAATTCAACATTTATTTATTTTTATGAAAAATCTAAATAAAATTGTCTGATTAAAAATTTTTTCTATTCAAACATTTGTTTTACAATAGTTTTGTTTTATAGTAAAAGTTAATTAATATTTTTTCAGTTAATTCATTTTTAAACTAACCGGTTAACAGTTGTTATAAGCAGTTATATAAAAGTTATAATCATTATTAAAATAATTTTTTTTATTATAATAATCTTTTACAAAAAAAATAAAAAAAAAATATTAATTGTACGATATATAGATGTAAAGTACTAAAATATAAATGTATTGAAATTTGATTGGTTTTTCTAGAATTTTTGTTAATTGTTTACTCAATTATTACTTAAGTTGTTTTTTAATATAAAACAAGTTGAGAATGCTATAAAACTATTTTATACTAAATTAAAATCCTTAATAAAAATTAAAATCAAATGATCCAATATAACAAATTATATTCAAATAAATTAATTAAATAAATCTCAATATAATTTGTTTTCTATAATTATATGTGTATGTGTATGTGTATGTGTATGTGTATGTGTATGTGTATGTGTATGTGTATGTGTATGTGTATGTGTATGTGTATGTGTATGTGTATGTGTATGTGTATGTGTATGTGTATGTGTATGTGTATGTGTATGTGTATGTGTATGTGTATGTGTATGTGTATGTGTATGTGTATGTGTATGTGTATGTGTATGTGTATGTGTATGTGTATGTGTATGTGTATGTGTATGTGTATGTGTATGTGTATGTGTATGTGTATGTGTATGTGTATGTGTATGTGTATGTGTATGTGTATGTGTATGTGTATGTGTATGTGTATGTGTATGTGTATGTGTATGTGTATGTGTATGTGTATGTGTATGTGTATGTGTATGTGTATGTGTATGTGTATGTGTATGTGTATGTGTATGTGTATGTGTATGTGTATGTGTATGTGTATGTGTATGTGTATGTGTATGTGTATGTGTATGTGTATGTGTATGTGTATGTGTATGTGTATGTGTATGTGTATGTGTGTGTGTATGTGTATGTGTATGTGTATGTGTATGTGTATGTGTATGTGTATGTGTATGTGTATGTGTATGTGTATGTGTATGTGTATGTGTATGTGTATGTGTATGTGTATGTGTATGTGTATGTGTATGTGTATGTAGGTATAGTATAACTTATTTTTCTATATAATTTTAAAATTTATAAAATCAAAAACTTTATAAAAACCGACACAGCCAGCCCGACAGAGACACAAATTTTAATAAATAAAATTAAAAAAAAAACATTTGAAAACTTACGCAAAACAAATTCAACTCATGTTTCAAATATTCGTTGTGTAAGTTTTAAAAAAAAAATATTTTTTATAAAATAATGCAAAATTGTTGTATACAAACATTAGTTTTGAAAACCTAAGTCCATAGCAGTTGACTAAATTTGATTCTATTAAATCAATTTTTCAAAAAAAAATGTTTATTATTTTAATCATTTTATTGGTTGTAATAATTTACATAAGTCTCGGTCAAGGTATGTACATATTAACATATATATATATATATGTATATATATACTGTAGTACTACTAATAAATTTAAGCTTATATTTATAAATTATATATAATTAAAATAAATTAAGTATATTAACAAATTTATTTATTGTTAATATAATATTTTTTAAATATTTTTATTATTTTATTTTAATAATATTATATATGTTTATATAGATTGTTTAGATAACGGCCAAGGATGTTTTAAAGATTATGTCTGTTGTAGCAATAACTGTGACTTTGAAGTATATACATGTGCTAAAAAAGATTAATATTAATAATTTTTAAAAAATATTTTTATATATATTTAATTAAACTACTATTATATAAATAAATTTGTTATTGTTTATTTTAAATTGAGATGTTTTTTTTATATATATATATTTAGATTTAATTATTAAAATATTTGTTTAAAATATTTCTGTTTCATTTAATTTAAAATCATAAAATTTTTTTATAACAATTTATTATTGTAAATAATATTATATATATCTATTTTTTTATTCCGATATTTAAAAAACTGTTTAAAATATTTATTAAAACAATATAAATAATAAATTAGTTGTCAGTGTTAATAAATTGTATAAAAAAATAAAATTAGAAATTATAATAAAAATACTGTTTTTATTGAGTCCAATAATCATTGCTTAACCCATAAAATAATGTATGTGTGTGTGTGTGTGTGTATGTGTATGTGTGTATGTGTGTATGTGTGTATGTGTGTATGTGTGTATGTGTGTATGTGTGTATGTGTGTATGTGTGTATGTGTGTATGTGTGTATGTGTGTATGTGTGTATGTGTGTATGTGTGTATGTGTGTATGTGTGTATGTGTGTATGTGTGTATGTGTGTATGTGTGTATGTGTGTATGTGTGTATGTGTGTATGTGTGTATGTGTGTATGTGTGTATGTGTGTATGTGTGTATGTGTGTATGTGTGTATGTGTGTATGTGTTACTAAGGAGAAACAAAAAACTATAACAATACCGGCTCCGGGCCTTAGAAAACACTGCCGACCGACGTACGTATATAGATTTTATTAATTATAATTGCAAAAATGATTATCGCAAAAATAAAACTAAAAATTATTTTATTTTATTTAGTAAAAATCGTTTAATTTGTTGTAAATAATTGTAATAAATAATAATTGAATTATATTTTAATTTAATAATTTAAAAATAAAATAAAATGTTATGTATCATTGTTTAAGGTTATTGTTTTAATTGAGTAAAAATAAATGAGATATTCTACATATAAAAATGTAAAAAAATAAATCTAAATCATTCGTGATAAATATTCTTTATTAGAAATCTTTTATAAGTTTTTATAATTACTATAGAAATTTTTACATAATTTAATCAAAAAATATTTATAGATATTTTGTCTTATTTACGTAAATTTAAGTAATTTGATAGTAAATATTTAAGTGATTTATTTTATTAAAAATATATTTTTTTAAAGCAAATAATTTATAAATATATTTTTATAAATTTAAGTTAATTTTCAGTATTTTATTTATTTAATGCTATTAATAACTATATATTTTTTATACATATGTATGTTTGCGTAAATTTAATGTAATTTAATGTAAAAAACTTATATTTATATATATATATTTTCTTATTTTTAGAAATCTATAGAAAAAATACATTACTAGTAAAGCGTCTTAGTTTTATTTGTTATAAGCGAAAAAAAATAAAAACAAATGTTTACTAATAAAACTATTGTTTTCATACACATACACATACACATACACATACACATACACATACACATACACATACACATACACATACACATACACATACACATACACATACACATACACATACACATACACATACACATACACATACACATACACATACACATACACATACACATACACACACATACACATACACATACACATACACATACACATACACATACACATACACATACACATACACATACACATACACATACACATACACATACACATACACATACACATACACATACACATACACATACACATACACATACACATACACATACACATACACATACACATACACATACACATACACATACACATACACATACACATACACATACACATACACATACACATACACATACACATACACATACACATACACATACACATACACATACACATACACATACACATACACATACACATACACATACACATACACATACACATACACATACACATACACATACACATACACATACACATACACATACACATACACATACACATACACATACACATACACATACACATACACATACACATACACATACACATACACATACACATACACATACACATACACATACACATACACATACACATACACATACACATACACATACACATACACATACACATACACATACACATACACATACACATACACATACACATACACATACACATACACATACACATACACATACACATACACATACACATACACATACACATACACATACACATACACATACACATACACATACACATACACATACACATACACATACACATACACATACACATACACGTGGCCACCGGAGCCGGGCCTGCAATATACGTACGCCGGCCGGCAGTGTGTAGTTCTCGGCCGCGAACATAATCTTTTTTCTTTTTTTTGAGCACCCTTTAAGCCGGCTATTCCCCCCACCCCCTTGTAGATTTAGCGCCCCATGTAGATTGTATATATATTGATGAAATAAATAACAAATAACAATATATATATTTGTTTGAAATTGAAATTATTTAATAAAAATTAAAAACAAACAAGAACATTAATTAAAAAAAAAATTAAAATTAAATAAAATGAAACACTAATAATATACTATAAATCAAAAAAAAAATTATATTTTGAAGATTTTTTTTTAAAAAAATTCTATATAGTGTAGTATATTTATATTATTATTATAATATAATTTTTGTTTTTAAATTTAATTGTTGTTGTTGTTGTTGTTGTTGTTGTATAAAATATTTACATTAATTATCATTATTTATCTTTATCTTCACAGACTGCTTGATGACAATAATGGTTACAACAGGTTTGTGAACTCATACATGGCTGGCCGTTATGAATGCAATCTAATTAATAAATATACTAGTATATATATATATTAATAAATGATTTAAATTATATAAAAAGTAAAAAACTTTTAATATATCTTTAAAAAGACGTTTAAATTATTATTAATTAATATTATATTTATGATAAATGTTGTACATACACACACACACATACATACACACACATATATACACACACACATACACACACACACATACACACACACATACAATATCCAGGATTTATATCCCCCGTTTTTACAATGATTGCATGCACGGGGTTTTGAGAACCCTTAAACTATGTTTCTCTCCAGTATTGTTGGTTATACTGTGTATAGCACTCATAACCGCCGAGAGTGCAGTAGTTAGAGAGGAGTACCCCTATTAACGATAGGACAGCATTATATATGCGGACAGTTCTGAGTACACATATTATCTGTTTCCTCGCGTTAAAAATCCCAACAAACTTAGGTGGCCCGTCCGGGTATCGATCTCGGGTTGTCGTACCTTTCGGCCACCGAGGCCCCATACACACACATACACATACACATACACATACACATACACATACACATACATACACACATACATACACACACACATACATACACACACATGAAACGGTTCCCAATCAACGCTTATATATATTTTGTTTAATATTCTAGTAATTGTTTTTAAACGCTATTTATGCACAAAGTTTTGATACCAGTGCTGCCTTTTCACACGTGAGCTGAATAGTAATGGAGGACTGATACCAATGGTATAGTCAGAGTAGTGTTAGCTTTTGAAGTGCACAGTCGGTTGGCGGGTGGGTGTGTAAGACAGCTCGGGTTTAAGTCTATTATATTGATTYATGTTATAATTATGCGCTTTATATTGATTGTGATATTTATTAACTATTAATAAAGTATTGTAAATATTATACACAGTGTATGTGATATAGTAGTCATAGCTTATGGTGATTATAGTGGTTGCAATAACAGTGTATGATAGCTAAGCCGCCGCAATACTAGTCTCTAAGCTCGGGTCCAAAGCTGGTCACTGTATAGGCCACACCTTTACCGCATCGCCCATAAGTGGTCGCTCATCTGAGGCTATAAGCCTACCTATTTAACGGGAGAAAACTAAGCGGTTCGGAGGCCAGATTCCCGAACCTATCGCAAGCTATCTGCTACAGGAGTGGGCGTACCGGTTGGTTACCACCGTAGCAGATATTACCGTTACACACACATACACACACACACATACACATAAACACAAATTAAATATTAAAAAATTATTTTTTATTGCTATTGAAACAAAAATAAGCAAATACTAAAAAAAAAAATTATATATACGTTTTTCCCAATATTGACAATTTTTATCATCATCATCACATTCACCATGGACCAAACTAGTAGTAATCATATAGACTATGACCACAATTATCACTACCTTAGCCAACATCATTGTCATCGACGTCATTAGAAAGCGATTACTACTATTTACTACAAAATATTTAATTAATGTATATTATTATAAATTAATAATAATTAAATTTATTATTAATATTATTAATATATTTTTATATTGATTTTCAAACATAAAATATTAATATTACTAACCTATTGATTGTTTTATATATATAGATATACTATATATACTTAATTTAGTTAATTGATTGTTTCAAATAGATGTTTTACAAGCTATGATTTAAATGAAACTATAGTTAAATAAAAATTTATATTTTCTATAATATTAAAAATTCATTTAATTACGTAAAATACATGTATTTCTAAATATGTTTTTCATTAGACATCAATAAATACAAATTAATTTAAATTATATTTTTTCTACTATCAAATTACATTTACTAACACTTACATACACACACACACACATATATATATATATATATATATATATATATACACACACATAAACACACACATACACACACACATACACACACAATCATATATAAAGTATTAATAAATCAAAACTATAATTTGCTTTTTATATAATCATAAATTTTTATTTACCTTATGGTATTCAAAAATATTATATATTAAATATAATAAATATAAATTATTATGAAAATAATTGCAGAAAAAAAACAAACAATAATAATAATAGGAAATCATTTAAATGATAATAATTTACAAGTTTTAATAAACAATTAATTAATTAATTTTGTCTTTTCTATAGATTATATTATAATTATTATTCAAAACAGTATATTAAAAAATTTATGACTAATAATAGTTGGATTAAATGATTAGGAATTTAGAGATTAAGTTATTTATTATTTATATCCATTAGTATTGTTGTACTGATCTTTGGCGGCATGTTTTCCCGTGCCCTACGATTTTTGATCCATGCCCTATAAAAACCATCCTGGTCATAGACCATATTGTGATAGACACTTATAGACAGGTCTTCCATACGATTCAATTGATGTATCTTTTTGATAAACTCGGGTCCATGAGCATCTATAGATAATAGGAGGAGGAAATGAGTTTAATTAGGGAACGGTAGATATGGATAGGTGTATCGTATGTATGTATACTTACCGCTAATGTTTAGTGCAAACTGATTGATGCATCTTTTTGATAAACTCGGGTCCATCAGCATCTATAGATAATAGGAAGGGGAGGGAGTGTTTTAATAAAGGGAAAAGTAGATATGTATGTACAGTATGTATACTTACCGCTAATGTTTAGTGCAAACTGATAGTCGTGTGTATCATCTCGTGTAGGAGTGTCTCCCGTATCTGCTTTTCGCCGGCAAATCTCAACAGTGGTCGCGAAAGCTTTATCTGAATCGGTCGACATTTAGGACTGAGAGATAGAAACAGATAGGACAGGTATGTAAACAGTTATATATATTTATAATTAAGTATTGTATTGTAGATTACAATTATATAGTTTATTGTACATAAAACTTATATAATTGTGTTAGTGCATGTGCTGTATGTATGTGCAGTTATATATATAGTGTAGGTATATATGATTACATATGTAACACAATTACATGCAAAATGTATATACAGTTTGAATTTAGTTGTATGTACTGCTAGTTATGTGTATAGTATGTCTACTTATGTATGTACAGGTATGCATGTAGTAGTAGTTAACAGTTAGTTATTTTATATAATCAGATATATATATATATATATATATATATCTATAGATATGTATGAATAGTTGAATGATATGATAGATACTTTCAATTACTTTTAATTATAACTAATAACTAATTATTAAAATATGATAATTTACCGATTTTCGGGATAAGTAATACCGGCCGCTATATACATATTGTTGATGCAAAACACTTCAACTTCGTGTTCAAACAGTACGCCATCGAAATATTTTTCATCGTATCGGCGAAAAATCGCCTGTATGTCTGGTACAGGATGTGCGGCCGCCGCCGCTGATTGTTGGCCATCAATATTGTCCAACTCATCCTCACTGTCGTAGTAGTCGTCATCACAATTGGCCCTATCATCGATGGTAAGCACTTTGATTGGTGTGTCTTCCCGAGTCAAGTCAACTATCTGTCCGATTGGTTTAGTTTTGGTAGTCTTTTTCAAGTTTTCTAATTATAATAATAATATATAATATATATATATATATACATAATATGTATTACATATTAATATTTTAATATAATTAGTAGACAACTAATAAACTTTTTTCGGGTAACAAATTTGCCGCTAATTTTAATCATCTGAACCAACAATGTCTCCTCCAATAGATTCTCCCGTTTGTCGTCTTTGTTGGCCAACAATCGGTCGGACAAACGTATCTCCAATGTCTGCACTTTACTAATAAATAATAAAAATATTAAAAAATCATGTCATCAATGATTGTGTCAATTCAATCTATTTCAGTGTACAATACAACCCACCCCTCCCTCACCGTTACCTTTTCGGGTCTTTCGTCGCCATTTTGACAATACGTGTCATATTTTTGGTCATTCGGGTCGATCAGCGGACAGTCGTTTTATTTTTAGCAAATTGATTGTCAAAGAAATTCTTGTCATAATAGTTATAACAAATCGGATAACTCTTTGACCGCATCTTCTGATACAGTCTTTGCTGGACTTTTGTTGTTGACTTCAGTTTAACCATCAGTTTTCGGTTGTGTCGTCGTTGGCGTCTTTCCATTGGCGGCTTCTCCGGTATTATTCATCCGTATTGGCTTCTGTTTGCTATTGTTGTCCACTACTTCTCGATTATCGGTATTGTTGTTGTCTGTCTCAATATCTAATGTTAATATATGAGTATATGATATCATTGTGTGTGTGTGTGTGTGTGTATGTGTGGGTGGGTGTGTATGAGTAGGGTTGCTAATCGTGACTAGTAATTGAAAAAATTAAATAACATTTATATTTATAAAAAAATATTATATGTATTATAACTTTAAACGTACAGTTAATAAATGATTTATTTATTTAAGCTTTTTATCTAAAAAAAAAATGATTTAAAAAATGATTACAAAGTTAATGATTTTATTTTTATTTTAATTAACTTATTTTTTTTTGTATATGTGTTTGTGATTGAGATACAGAAAATATATATTTTTTTTTGTTAAGTCTATAATCCAAACACTTACTGATCGGTCAGTGCTGTTGTCGTCGACCCAACCGTTTGGTAGCCGTTTTGGTGGCCGCGGGTGTGGCACCAGTTGAGGAACCGGCATCAGCAGCACTGGCAGCCGTGTCCTGAAGCCATCTGACTTGAGTGGCCGATTGGTTGCCTTTTAAGTTTCGGGGCCGCTATTCGGCAGATATAATGGCCGGTTTGAGAGTTTGTGTTTGTGTGTGTGTGTGTGTGCGGTAGTCAAGTACTAATTGGGCCGTCAGTACACATTTGACTCAGCCCACGATGACATATGTGTTACCAAAAAAAAAACACAATATATCTACTATTTTAGGAACTGTGTTAAGCAAGGTTTTGGACTTTATGGGTGAGGGGGGGTCTATTAGGTTAGTGGTCAACATGAACATTATATATTAGTATTTTTGCTAATTAGTTTGTTTTTTAAAACAATTTATTAACAATCAACCTTGTTTATTTATTAGCATTATAAAATATATTTATACATTATTATAATTATTAAATAGATAGAATAATAATAATAACCAAAATTATATTTAAAATATTAGATATAAATTTAAAAATAAAAATTTTAAAAAGTGATTAAATATTTTTAACAATTAAATATCTTAACAATTAAATCAAGTAATGAAAATATAGCCAACCCGAGCCACAAAATACCTAACAGTCCTCCTAAATCAGATAGAAACTCTATTTGGCTCATCTGTGGTCTATGCTCTACTAATTCATCGAAATGCGCGGAATGACGGATAATGACTTTAACCGTAGAGTTGTCCCAACGATTGGTTTTATTAGCAATAAATTTAACTTTTTGCTGGTCAACCAAACTCATAATGAAATGATTTTCATAACATGGATCCGGACACACATTATCGCAATTAATACGATTGGGTAGTTCACATGGTCTATACGGTACATAGTTGTTACACGACATTGATGATACATTTTCAGCTATGTATTTCGGTAGGATCAATAGTGAACTCCACGGGGTACAATTATTAAAATTAAAAACAATGCCACTATTGTTAATACTGCAATGATTATCATCCGCTATACGTTTTTGAATGCATTTGTATCTGCATTCGGATCGGGTGCGCGTGTTTTGATAACCACTACCATCGGTGCCATTATAATTAAATATATCGTATTCATTGCATTTTGTGTCCCACTTTGGCTGCAAACGTATCATTTCAATGGTTGAATAACCAATTTCATACCTATTGTTCATATGTAGTTTAAATATATTTTCAGAATACCTATCATAGGGCGTGTTGTTCGCTGAATGCATGATAAGCGTTATCGGCTTTAGTTCTTCATACAGTGTTGGCGGAAACCAATCCTTATTGTGTTGAATCTCAATGTATATTAAATCCAAAATGGTTTTACGTTGTCGATACTCGGAGTTAAGTTCACTAAAAAATGTTAGGCATTTAGTCGGTTTTTCAAATTGATCAACGATACTATTGGTTGATAATCAAAAATTTGCGATGATGAATTAATGTTGTCATATTCACTAATAAAAGTCCATAAATATCTGCTTTTGATTTCCGTTAAATTGTTTACCATAAATGGCAGGGTCAGATTAGTATCGTAAAGGTCGGCCAATGGTAAACGTTTGTTAGTATAATATTTGACAAATTTATTATACATTTGTCGTAAAATTCGTCTTGTATTATCATCATCGTAGTCCCCATCGTCGTAATTGTCAATAAGATTTTTATATTCAGTGTAATTATACGCCAAATCTTCGGGAAATTGTTTGGCCAATGCATCCATTCGTAGGGCGTACGGGAAACAAATGGTTATTCCGGGTAACGAATCCTCTTTGAATCGATCATATCTGGTAGAAACCAATGTTTTTCCACTTAAATATTGACCGATCAGTTGAATGGATTGATATATTAGTAATGAAGTACACAATAAAAATAATATGACTTTCAGTACTGTTCGCCGCTTTTTTCTGGCACTCATTTCATGCCATTTAGTCTTAATGTTATCCATTAGTTTCAGTGAACACTTATCAGACATTTTAAGCAACAAATTATTAAAAATATTTACTGTTATGTAATGTAATAGTGTTTTATGAACAACAGTTAACTGTTTTTTAATATTGTTTTGAACAACATTTTATATATACAATATATAAATATAAATACTAGGGTTAATCAATGTGTTGGGTATTAGGGGGGGGGTTATATGATACGGTAAACTTGAACGATAGTATATGTATAGAGTAGGTGTATTTATTATTTTATTTATTAATTGAATAAATATATATTTTTTTAAATATATTAATCGGTATTATAAGATAATTTACTCAAAATCTTGAAATTTTTCTAAGAATAGCAAAAATATTTCAATTAATTATATATATTATAATGTTTTATTAATTATTTTAAAAACTATTTTTTTTGTAAAATAAAATATAACAAATTTTTAATTTCTTAGTTTAATAATTTTTTTGGAAAAATATTATAAAATTTAATTAATCCTAACTATTTTTTAAATAATAATTCTATTTACTTATAAATAATTAGTTAAAACATAATAACAATTAATTATTACTTATTAATTTATATATATCATTTGGCCACATAAAATTTTGGTGAAATTTATTTTTCATTTTTTTAAACAATTTTTTATCTAAATTAAAATTATGGGGTTTAATGGTCATACCCCTTACACCCTCTCAATTGCTTAACTTAATATATTAGTAAAAAAAATTTGTAAAAAAAGTTGTGTATGTATTGTCTAGTTTTATATATTAAAAAGCTATAAATTTTTTATATAATTTATTGAAATATAATCAAAAAAAATTATTGAATTAATTGTATAAATATATAATAGATTATAAATTTAAAAAAAAAATTGTCGTTAATCATTGCCAATACATTTGCATAGTCTATATCATACAAAAAAATTTTTTTATATAAAAATGAAAAATATTGTGCAATCATTATATTATTGTAATGTTTTTTTTTTCTAAGTATATAATCATTTATTTTATTAAATGTAATATTCATAATATGAATATGTGTTAAATTTTATTTTTATTATTTATTTTTTTTTATGAAATTGATATAATTATTAATTGTCATTGAATTTTGTTTAATGTCAAACAGTTTTTTAGAGCCAAAAAATAAATGTATTGTTTGATTACTAGAATTTTTTACAACAAAAAAATTAGGTAACAATAGGTATGTTAGCCCAGGGATGTTGTGTGTTGGTGTAGGTGTTGGTATATACTGTATATTTACTATTAAAAAAAATTCAAAAATATATTATTATATCCAAAAAATAAAACAACAAATAACTACTGTATTTATAAGAGTTTGATATATAAATTATATACAGTATTGTATTTTTCAAATTTCTATTTAAATACTATTTCTAGAATTACATGTATTTTTTTGTTTTGGTTATAACAATAGATTATACTGTATACTGTATTCATAAAAATTAAATTAAAAAAAACATATTTTTATATAATTTATTATTTCATATCTTGTTTAACAACAAATATATTTTGTTTTATAAATAAAAAGTATTTTTATTTTATTTTATGTTTTTTGATTACATCTACACTAATAGTTATTACTAAAAATTTTGATGTACTGTATATGCTATATAATATATATAAATATATACATGCAAATAAATACATATAAATATATAATATTACTAATTTAATAATTAATTTTTTTAATAAAATTATTTATTAGTTAAGTTTATAGATAGACAATTTAGTAAAATTTCAATGATAATTAACTATGTTTTTTGTAACTACTTAATATTTTTAAGTATTAAAGTTTAAATTAAAAATAATTAATATAATTTTAAAAAGATAGTTGAATTTTTTGAAACATACAAATAATTTTAATCAAAAAAAATAAATAAATATCAAATATAGAGTATTAGTCAATCAAAACAATAGTTTGTTTTTTATATAATCATAAATTTTTATGTACCTAAAGATATTCAAAAATATTATATATTAAATATACAAAAAAAAAATATTTAAATATGAAAATAATTGCAGAAAACAAACAATAATAATAGGAAATTATTTAAATGCTAATAATTTATAAATTTTAATAATCAATTAATTAATTAATTTTGTCATTTCTATAGATTATATTGTAATTATTATTATTACAAGTATATTAACAGGAGATTAAATAGTCAATGGGTAATAAAAAAATTAGTAATAAATGATAAGTATATTAGAGATTAAGTTATTTAGTTATTTATATCCATTAGTATTGTTGTTGTTTTGCGGCTAACTTTTCCCGTGCCCTACGATTTTTGATCCATGCCCTATAAAAACCATCCTGGTCATACACCATATTGTGATAGACACTTATAGATAGGCCTTCCATACGATTCAATTGATGCATCTTTTTGATAAACTCGGGTCCATGAGCATCTATAGATAATAGAGGAAAGGGGCTTAATTAGGGAATGGTAGATATGGATAGGTGTATCGTATGTACATTATGTATACTTACCGCTAATGTTTAGTGCAAATTGATAGGCGTGTATCATCTCGTGTAGGAGTGTCTCCCGTATCTGCTTTTCGCCGGCAAATCTCAACAGTGGTCGCGAAAGCTTTATCTGAATCGGTCGACATTTAGGACTGAGAGATATAGACAGAGAGGACAGGGATGTAAACAAGTATATATATATAATTAAGTATTGTATTGTAAATTCTACAGTTGTATACATTGTATGTATAACTTATGTAATTGTGTATACGTATACATACAGTAGGTATATATATGTTTAATTATGTAATACAACTACATATAAACTGTATATACCTATTATCTATATACAGTTTGCATGTAGTTGTATGAACTCATAGTTATGTGTATAGTTTGTATGTACAGTATATGTATGTCTACTTATGTTTAGTAAAGGTATGCATGTAGTTGTATTGAACTGTTATATAATCAAATATATTATATACAGTATATCACGTATAATCAGATATATATCTATAGATATGAATGATATGATAGATACTTTCAATTACTTTAGTAATTAACTAATATCTAATTAATAAAATAATTTACCGATTTTCGGGATAAGTAATACCGGCCGCTATATACATATTGTTGATCCAAAACACTTCAACTTCGTGTTCAAACAGTACGCCATCGAAATATTTTTCATCGTATCGGCGAAACATAGCCTGTATATCGGGTACGGGATGTGCGGCCGCCGCCGCCGTCGATTGTTGGCCATCAATACTGTCCAACTCATCCTCGCTGTCGTAGTATTCGTCATCATAATTGGCCTTATCTTCGATGGTAATCACTTTGATTGGTTTATCTCCCGAAGTCAAGTCAACTGTCTGTCGGATTGGTCGCAATTGTTTAGTTTTGATAGTCTTTTTCAAATTTTATAATAATAATAATAATATATTTTTTATAACTAATTTTTTCAGTAATTTTTTGTGCATTTATTTTGCACTTAAATACCTTATCAGTTGGCGTTTTGTTAGCATTTATATTCAATTTCTTTTTAGCTAAAAAATAAAATTTTAGTAAATTTATATATATTATATATATATACAGTATATGACAACAATTACTAAACTTTTTTCGGTAACAAATTTGCCGCTAATTTTAATCATCTGAACCAACAATGTCTCTTCCAATAGATTCTCCCGTTTGTCGTCTTTGTTGGCCAACAATCGGTCGGACAAACGTATCTCCAATGTCTGCACTTTACTAATAAATAATGTCATCAATGATTGTGTTAATCAATTTCAATGTATAATACAACCCAAACCTTCAATACCACCCCTCCCTCCCTCACCGTTACCTTTTCGGGTCTTTCGGCACCATTTTGACAATACGTGTCATATTTTTGGTCATTCGGGTCGACCAGCGGACAGTCGTTTTATTTTTGGCAAATTGATTGTCAAAGAAATTCTTGTCGTAATAGTTAAACAAATCGGATAACTCTTTGACCGCATCTTCCGGTACAGTCTTTACGGGACTTTTGTTGTTGACTTCATTTTTACCATCAATTTTCGGTGCAATCGGCTTTTCATTGACTGCTTCTCCGGTATTATTCACCCCTATTGGCCTCAGTTTGCGGTTATTGTTGTCCACTACTTCATCCCGATTTTTATCGGTATTGTTGTTGTCTGTCTCATCATCGGTGTTGTCCACGTCGTCCTCATTATAGTTATTATTATTATTATTATTATTTTTAGGAAAATATTTGTCCGATTTGTCAATTTCATGGATTATATTATTAAGATTTTTGAGATCAAAATAATCATCGGGTGTTATCCTAGAGGCCATTGTTTCTACTCTATAATCCTATACTATCTAAACTATATCTATCTATCTATCTATCAGTTATCACTATTAACTATAAATATAATTTAATTAAATTAATTTTTTATGTTATCGTTGATAATAATTAATCTATTAATTATTAAATAAAATCACTATTTCTAATATAATAAGCAAAAATTACTTAACACACATAACCACTAACTAACTAACTAACTAACTAATGAACAATAGTTTATCAATAAATTTATAATAAATTTAATCACGTTTTTTTAAGTTTTAATGGTTGACTAACATTGAGATCTCATAATATATTATGAGTTGATAATCACTATATTTTTCATGTATCAATGTGTGTGTGTGTGTGTGTGTGTGTGTGTGTGTTTGAGTAGGGTTGCTAATCGTGACTAGTAATTGCAACAAAAAAAATTAATTAAATTTATATTTTTTAAAAATATAATGTACTATACTTTAAACATACACTTAATAAATGTTTTATTTATTTAAGTTTTTTATCTGAAAAAATGATTCAAAATGATTACAAAGTTAATGATTTTATTTTTATTTTAATTAACTTAATTTTTTGTTGTTGTATATGTGTTTGTGATACAGAAAATAAAACAATGAATTAATAATACATTAATTAATTTAATAACAATTTTTTTTTGGTTTGTGTTTTATGACATTCAATGAATTAGTTTTAGAGAGAGAGAGAGAGAGAGAGAGAGAGAGAGAGAGAGAGAGAGAAAGAAAGAAAACGCACAAAAATTATATATCAATTAATTAATTAATAAACAATTAGTTTTGTGATACAAAACGAAAAAATTACTAAAAAAAACAAAATATAAAATCAATTCGTCAAACAAACAAAAAATTATAGAAAAATTTACAAAAAAAAGAGAGAAAAATATTACAATGAAATTAATCGACAAAAATATAATAATAATAATTATGAAAAATTTAAATATTATATATATACTAATGATAATAACATTTTATGTAATTTTTGTTTGTTTGAATGATAATATATTGTAATATATACTGTATATATATATAGTTTAGACAATAATAATAATATTTTATACGATTTTTTGTTTTGTTTTGTTTTGTAATCAATATATTTATATATATAATAATATATTTATAATAATTATCTTTATATAACAATCAGTGATATATACTGTATATATATATAATGTTTTTATTTTAAAATTTTTGTTTGTCTATTGAAACTTCAATACACTGTTTATTATTATTATTGTTTGTTTGTCTTTGTTTTGATGGATGAGATTAACCACATATTTATTGTGCTTCAGTTTTACCCCTTTTCGGTAAACTATTAGATGAAGAAAAATATTAATATTTTTTTAAAAATAAAATAATTTTTTTGTTAAGTCCTATAATCAAACACTTACTGTTCGGTCATTGCTGTTGTCGTCGACCCCCGTTTGTTAGCCGTTTTGGTGGCCGCGGGTGTGGCAGCAGTTGAGGCACCGGCAGCAGCAGCAGCGGCAGCACTGGCAGCCGTGTCCTGAAGCCATCTGACTTGAGTGGCCGGTCCGTAGCCTTTTTCGTTTCGGGCCGCTATTCGGAAGATAATGGCCGGTTTGGTGGTCGTATCGATGTGTGCGGTAGTCAAGTGCTGGTTGCCGACAGTACACGAAGCCAGTCGACCGCAATAGACCCGAACAAATGCCAACTGATTGGGATTAGATGTCACAGTTTGTTGTCCGCTACCGGTTGTCGCCGATTTGACGGCCAAATACACGGAATATTCGGTTATCTCACCCGATGTCATGTGCGGCGGTTCCCACGATAGATGTGCCCCTTCGGCACTCTATTGACAAAAATATAATTATAATTATTATTATTATTATTGACATTCAATTCATAATTATTTATCACAAACTTTGGTTATTTTGATGGCTGACGGAGCGCCCGGATAGCCGGGTAGACATGTTTTGAAGGCCGATATCTCACTCCAGGGTCCCCGACCGCAAGCGTTAACGGCGGCCACTCGTAGCTTATAGGCTGTTCCCGGTTCGAGATCGGCTTTTATGAAATTAGTGAACAGTGGTAACGAATTGGAGTCAAAGTCGGCGTCCGGATCGCGTGGTTTGTCGATACCGTCAGCAGTTGTAGTCGCCGTCAGCGGCGGTGGTGTCAAATAGTTTTGGACAGTACACTGATTTGTCTTCAGTACGGATACATCGTACCATTGGTTCTTGTTTTTTAGCGGTTGTTTAGCGACAACCGTAGTGGCGGCCGGTTTTGGTGGCAATACTGGGGCAGCGGAGGCGACGGCATGCGTTATCGGCTGATGCGACATACCGTTGGTCACTGTTGTGGCGGATGATATGGCAGCCGATGCCAGCGTAGCTAATGGATCGGTGTCGGGTTCCGATTTGATGGCTGACGGAGGTTCGGGATCGTCGGACAACATTTGCAGGGGTGGTGCGGCTCCGGGCATCTCAACTTTTAGTGCTATTTTTCGGACAAAAAATAAAAGAAAACAAATATAAATCAATTAGCCGCTCATTACTACCCGTAACAGTAAACACCTACCGCTGGTAGTCGATGGTGTACTACTTCCCTGTCCTAATAGTGCCGATTCTAGCGTACTTTTCGGTCCAGTTTTATTAGTTACTTGAGTCGTCGGGACTTTGTTTTCATTCGGGTCGGGATCATCACTGGCACCGTCCACTTGAGGTATCTTTTTCGGTGTCGTCGGTGGTTCGGCTTTTACTTGTGCTATTGTCGATGGTTGCAGCGCTGTGGCAGCGGTTACAGCTAACTGTGTGGTCGCTCCGGTAGCCGCCGGTTTTGTTACAATAGTAGCCGTCGGATTGGTTCCCGAAGCCGACGACAGGAATACAACTTTCTGGCCGGCAGTTGTCGTCAGACTGCCACCGGAGCCGGCCTGCAGTATACGTACGCCGGCCGGCAGTGTAGTTCCCGGTGCGAACATAATCTTTTGAGCACCTGCTACGCCGGCGATACCTGATTTCAGGGCCGACGCCGGTATTGTTATCGTTTTTGTTCCTCCTTTACGAGTGAAGAGTAATGTCGACAACAATTAATAACATATAAGGAAACGTATAGAAAGTGTTAGTGCTTTTTTAATCACATACCAGCTCCCGAAACGTTTGTCAATAGCGAAGATGGTAGCTGTAAGGTAAACGGTTGGCCAGCTTGTTGTTGTTGGCCACCAATGATTACAGTTTGCTGTTGTCCGCCGCCTCCGCCTCCGGCGTTCGCCTGTTGCGGTGTCTGTACGACAATCATTTTGACCCCTTGAGGTCCGGTAACAATTTTAGCTGGCGTCGGCCCAGTGGCCGTACCAGTTTTCGGTGACTGTTGTATCATAAATGTTTTCGTAGGACTGTCACCTAAAATTATATATTTAAAAAAACACAATTCCCGATAAACAAATTGATTTTCACTTATTATTATTATTTATCAATATTATTACCCAATGATGTGACAGTATTGGTAGCACCGCCGCTGACAGCTGTCTTCAGGACAGTTGACATAAATTTTTGACCACTGGTAACGTTGGCTCCCGTATTGGGTATTTGAATCAATTGTTGGGTTCCACCACCCGATGACCCCTGTATGACTGTTCCGCCGACTGTTTTATGTAGTAGACCGCCGCCCGGTTGCGACGATACAATCTTGACTACCTGGCCTTTACCGGCACTGCCGGCCGGTGCCAGTGTCAGGCCCTGGGCTGTCTTCACCAGTGTCATCAGCTGCGGCTGACCAGTACCTCCTTGACCCGGTTTTTGTACGATAATCTGTTTGGCTCCGACCGGTGTCTGGCCGCCAGGTGTTATAATGCGAATAGTTTGTGGCTGACCAGGAGTACCGCTTTGGGCCAGTTTGAAGGTCTGTCCGGTTCCAGTAGTCATTAGCTGCGGTGTCGACGCAATAACTCGAATGCCGGTAGTGGTCGGCGTTGATGGCGGTGTTGCCGCAGCCGCTGTTGTCGTCGACGCCGCCGCCGCCAATTGTATCGATGACGGTGTCGCCATTTTTTGTGTAGCCGCAGCTGCTGCTGCCAGTGCAGCCATTCCCGATAGTTGGCCACTGCCCTGTTGTGAACCAGCGCCTATTGGTGTAGTATTGGCCGTAATTACCGACGGTGTCGGCTATAATGTTTTTAATCAATAAAAATTATCGTTAATTCATTCAACTAACCAAAAAAATAAATCGCTTACCGTTTGATTTTGTTGGACAGCTTTGACCGCTGCTGCAGCCGCTGCCGAAACCACAGGAGTTACTGGTTGAGTGACGGCAATCGGTGTTTTGGCCAACGGAATACCGGGCGGATGAACGCCTGCAGCCGATTGCGACTGCTGTTGATTGGCCGGTATGTCGTACTTTTGAATCTGCAGCAGATAGTAGTCGGCAGTCGGTACAGCGCCCCAGCAAATCTCCAGCGTATTGGTGGCCGCTCTGACCAGCTGTACTCGAGTGGGCGGCGGCGGTTTATCGGTTTCCAAATACCACAAATCCTTACAGCAAACCTGATTGTTCCAGGCCTTGCGATAGCCGTCACGACCCGACCACACATACAACCGGGTACTGATGGCTACCGAACAATGGCCGGCACGGGCTCGCGGTACCGAATCGTCAAACGATTCATTGGTAATAAACTCCCAGTTCATGGTTTCCATGTTCAGTGCGGCCAACGTATTCGTACATTTCCATTCCTTTTCCTGGACAGTACCGCCAGTTTTCGTATCGTTGTCGCAAACCAATGGCACCCAACCGCCAAAAACGTACATACGTTGGCCAATAAGTGTTGCCGAATGTAGTGACCGAGGAAGCGGTGGCACACCTGATAAGTAGTTGATGGACAGAAAAACACACACAGTTAGATAGCTATATAAAAAAAGGTGGTCATCCTATAAAAACAATATTACCGTTGACAATAGGTTTAGTCCAAGTCATGGACTCAATGTCCAGTATCCATAGGTCGCCCAATCGGCAGCCGCTCATACCGCCGTAGATAATCAGTTTGGAACTTTTGCCGTCGGGTGTCGTATAGGCAACAGCCGTATGAGATTCGCGGGGCGGCGGCGGCGTACCGTACGTGGCCGGCAGTTCCCATTGGATTAGATTAGAGTAGGGCCGCATCTCCAGGACATACAGATCGTTGAGATACCTATATAAAGATAGATTAGATAACACATACATTAGCATCGGGATGAACCGATAATCACTGGCCACTTAATTAGGTAGCACTGGCCACTTAATTAAGTTAGGGTTCGGGGGGTCTCATGAGTCTCATATCACACACAAACCTCGGTATATTGTTTTTAGGATCATCCGAATCGTTGGCCAAACCGCCGAACAGGAAGACCCGATTGCCGATCAATGTAAACGAATGGCCCAATCGTGGACACGGATATGTGCCGCCGTTTTTCGTTGGCCTCGGTTTCAATCGTTTCCATTCCCATCGGCTGGCCTGCAGTTCGAACAGTTCATTCGAGTATTTACCGTATTCGACCATTCCGCCGAAGACCAACAATCGGGTACCGTCGCAAACAAAGCCGTAGGCCGCGCAACCCGGCGGTATATCGCCCTTTACTTGCGGTACAAACCATTGGTTGGTCGCTAAAAAATTAAGATAATATCGGGTAATAATTAATAATAATACCGGAAAAAAAAAATTTTATATAACAAATAAAATAATTTATTATTTTATATTTTTTTAATTAGATATATATATATATTTGATATTATAATTGAAAACAAAATTATTATTAGTTTTTTGGTCAACAATTAGTTTGAAAAAACAATAACCTAGATAATTTTTATTTACTATTATTATTATATGTTATTATTATTTTATTGTTTGTATCCATGTTAATTTTAATTATACCAGTGTGATTAATTAAATATATATATAACTAAAAAGTACCTAGAGCAGTGTCATAAAACTTATTATTTTTTATTACTAATTTTAGTTAATATTTAGTTAACACTAATTAAATTTTGTTTATCTATTTTTTAAAATCTATCAAATTAACAAAATTAATTTTTAAAAAAAAATCTAAACAAACAAATTTAACATGCTCCAATTAATTTTTTTTAATAAATATATTTAAAATAAATAATTAACATATTATTACTACTACCCACCCACCCAAACACAATTGTTTATCAACAATTAATTTACATTAGATAAAATTATTATTATCCAGGTCACACACTATATAGTTTTTAATACCTAAATGGCCTAAATATCATAAATTTTATTTTAAACAATATTTTTTTAACACTTTCATAAATTTTTTTTGTTTTATATTTTATTTAAATTAGTGTATTGTTTGTAAAACAAAACAAAAAATTGTACATGTAGAATTTTTATATTAAAATAATAATAATAATTTTTTTTAAATTTTAATCAAAAATAAAATCCCAAAATTTTTATCAATGATCTAGGTTATTTTTGTTGCGTGTGATTGGACAACAACACAAAACAATAGCATCTTATCAACAATCAATTTATGGGGGGCGGGGAGGGGGTTATATAATTTGTATATATACAATAGATCTCCCTCCCCCCTCTAATCGTATTAAGCTGAATGATGGGGGTGGGTGGGGTGGATGATGATGAGGAAAAAGGGGGTCTAATATCATATCAAGTGCTACCCCACCCGCCCACACCCCCCCAGGAAAATGTAGGTTCAAATCAAAATCAAATATGTCTAACATATAGACAGACAGTTTTAGTTTGAAGTTTAGCTTACAATAAATGTAGCGCTAATTCAATCAATAAAAACACATACATTCAGTGCTTTTAATATATATAAATACTTTTAAACATTCAATACTAATAAATAGTAGTATTATATATATATATATATATATATGGTATATAACAGCACAGTATATGTGTATATTATTAACATACATAAGCCGTATGTGTGTGTGTGTGTGTAGAGAGAGAGAGAGGTAAAGCCATACAAACACATACATACACACACACATACACACACACATACACACACACACACACATACACACACACACACATACACACATACACACACACATACATACACACACACACACACATACATTACATACATACACACAAACAACTATGGATGTCATATACATTAGTCGGTATAATACAGTATATACTGTAAATACATACATAAGCCCATAGCATATATGATTGAATTCAATAGACAATTATAACTATATATAATTTAATACATACTTGTATTGAATACATGTAGTTCATCGACAATACCCTCGTTGCCGCCGCCAAACACAATCATCAGGTCCTTGATGGCCACTGCCCGATGGCCGTGTCGGGGCCGGGGAGCCGGACCAGTGCTGCCCGCAACTTTACGCCACTTCATTATGGGAGCAGACATTGTTGTTTTGTGTGTGTGTTTGTGTTGGTTGGGTTATGGTTGGCTGTTTTATTTGGTGGGGGGTATAGGATAGTTGACTGTCAATAGCATAGTTAGTATAGTATATATATATATATACAGAGAGAGAGAGAGAGAGAGAGAGAGAGAGAGAGAGAGAGAGAGAGAGAGAGAGAGAGAGAGTAAAGCTACCAGTGCTTAGGTTTGGCTGTGCCTGAGAGTGAGAGAGAGAGAGAGAGAGATAGATAGGGAGGGAGTCGACACTAGTAGCTAACCTACCAGTGCTGTTAGCACTGGTTAATATTATTAATTATTTTTTTTGCCTTTAAATATACCGTTCAATACATAGTATGTATGTTATTTCACTAATAACGTTCCCCTAATTTTTTTTTTTTTTTAGTTGTTTGGTCGACCAAAACTACCGGTGCGCTGTTAATATGATTTATTTAATTATTATTAATTAATTACTTACTTATTATTTATTTATTTTATTTTTGTTGATGTTAACTATACCTAAAAAAAATAACTACTAAAAAATAACAAAATTTAGCATGGTAATAATAATAATAATACAGTACAGATAAATAATAGTTAATAAATAATTAATTGTATCCATAATTAAATAATAGATACATATATATATATATATTAAATAATTAAATATTTATTAAATTATTATTTATTACTAAATATATGATTATTTTTATTTTAATTTATTTTTTTTTTGGATATAAATATTTTAATTTAGCATCATCATCATGTAAAAAATTAATCTAGGTAAAATGTTAACTGTTTTAAAATTGTCTATTAGATAATAATAATAATAATAATTAACACATTTATATGATTTATAATATTGAGATAATTAAAATACAAAAAAAAAATTATATTATAATTATCAAAATCAATCAATTTATTTATTAAAACATTTTAATACATAATACAGTAATTATAAATAACATGAAAACAATTTTTTTTAAATTTTTGTTTTTTTTCTTCAATACCATAATTCATATATAAAATATTTATGATAATCATAATAATAATAAAAAACATAATAAATAAATATATTTAATTAAATATAATTTAATAATAATTTAATTTCAGTCTATAATTGTTTTTTTTGTGTTTGGGTTTCAAAACACAATTGAATTGATGATTGCGTTATACAATAAAAATCTAAATTAAAAATAAAAACTTTAAACCTTTTTTTTTAAAAAAAAATATCAAATTACGATATTTAAATAAATAATATATATATATATATATATATATATAAATTTGAGTCTATATTTTAAATTATAATAAATAGATCTATATATAGGGATTTTTTTAGAAACATATATAATTTAACAATAATTATAATAATAATAAAACAATTGTTTTCAATTACATAACAGTCTCTCTATCATTGATTTGTGTATAATTTTGTTGTATAATAATAATCATGATTTTAGTTTAGTTTAAAAATATTCAATAAATATTAGTAAATATAATAAATATCTAATATATTTAGACAAATAAATAAAAAATAAAAAATTCAGTTAATTTTGTTTTTCAATTTTGTTTTTCTAAAAAACTAATCAATCAATCAATCAATCAATTCATCGAAACAATACCGACTCGGGATCTAAATCTTCAAACTCTTTCAGATGTAATAATATATCTTTTTTGGTGATTATGCCCAACAATCGACTGTTAAAACACAAAAAAACAAACAAACAATTAATTAAATCAATTGGTGTCCAATTGAATCAATCATCAGTCATTTATAATATCCTAATACTATACCCGTTATGCGTGACCAGCACTTGCCGTAGTCCTAGTTTGCGAAACATATCGATCACAGTTTCCATGGGTGTCTGATCGGTAATGGTTACCGGTGCCAGGTCGACCACTCGACGCAATTTGATTGGCTCGGGTGCATGCGGTGCTGGATTGGTCGATACGTGGCCGCCGTGAAACAGTACCAACGAATTTTCGAATACTTCGGACGTACGCTTGGCATTGGTCAGGGCCAGGCCAAGATCTTTGCGGGTAACAAATCCGACCAGATATTGCGATTCACGCGATACTACTACGGGAAACCCATTATGTGTTGTACTTTTCAGTAGGCAATCAATATCGTCGACAGTCATCGTATCCTGGGTTAGTACGGCCAACGGCGGTTCGCTACGTTTCGGTCGCATAGCATCGGCAGCGATGGTCGTATGCGGGAATTCTTCTTTATTATCGAGAAACGGATAGCCATTGAGTTCGATGTGGGCATCGTATACACCTTTTTTGCCGAGTGCATCGCCCACCCATTTGGCAGCCATAATAGCGGTCATTAGCGGTACAATAAAGTTGACCGAACCGGTCAGTTCGAACATTATGACTACCAGCGATACGGTCATACGAGTAACGCCGCCCAAAACGGCAGCCGCACCCACTACAGCGTACAGCCCAGGACTCATACACGATTCGCCCGAATTGGAACAGGCATCTTGAAATACCCACCATTTCGGATAGTTGTAGGCAATCTGTTCCATAGTAACGCCTACTACCCGACCGATAATGGCACCCATAGCCAGCGACGGTATGAATAGGCCGGCCGGTACTTTGATACCGAACGTAAATATTGTAATAACCAATTTGAATATCAAGGCCAGTATCAGTAAGCCCAGGGACTGGTAGACACCGGGACCGGCATTGGCAATCTGTATGTGTTCGTTAACGTTGGTAAAGTTACGCGGATAGTCGCACAGCGGGATTTCGTCGGCTATACCGCACGGCGTAAACAACAATTTGATCAAATCCGATGAATTCATTCGCGTAAATTTGTTGGGAAATGCCAGTACCGACGTAATCAACGTAATGACCAGTACTTCGGTAATCGGGTACTGACCCAATCGGGAGTATTTGCGATGTTGACACCATCGGAGATTAGCTTTGATAAATATGTTGCCGATTAGGCCGCCGAATACGCCGAGCATTACAAACGGTACCAATTCGAATAGGATCCACGGCCGGGTATAGTCAATGTAGAACATTACCAAATGTTCGTTACCTATGATGATGGTGATGATGATGTACCGGTAGGTAGGTGCCCAACAATGGGAGGAGGGAGAAAAAATAATCAATAAATTATAAGTGAAACAAAAATATGGAAATGTTGTTGTATTTACCGAACGGATTGATCGATCGGAGGACAAAAGCGGCCACTAGTGCACAGAAAAAACTACGCCACAGTGTTTTCAGTGGAAAATAATAGGACACTTCTTCGAGCGAAAATAGTACGCCGCCGATGGGCGCACCGAAAGCTACTGAGACGCCGGCAGCCGAAGCGGCCGATAGTATTTCGCGTTTTTTAGCCTCGTTTTTACCGTATTTGGGGAACAGATAGCTGAATATGTTGCCAATACAACAGGCGCAGTGAACTAGTGGACCTTCTTTACCCAGTGATAGGCCGGCAGCTACTGTTAACATCATACCTGTCCATCAAAAAAAAAAAAAACAAAACAAACAAATAGATAGATACCAAAGTTATAAACAACTGTATGATTACCCAATGACTTGATAGTCAGTGTCCATTTGCCCAGATAGCCGCGTATGATAAATCCGGACAGTATGGTCTTGATTTCGGGTATACCCGAACCGCAAGCATAGGGTGCAAACGTACGGACAAACAGGGCGGCTAGACTGACAAAAAACAGTGACCATAGTATGTAGAAAAAGTAGGCAACTATAAACGAGCCGACAACGGCCGACTTTTCATTCAGGCCCAACAGTTCGGGCCATGTTTTCCATTGGTCGCAGTGATCCGTCCATAGAGTTTCTACAACAAACAACAAAACATGATTTTTTATAGACAACTGGGTTCCTATGGGGTGGGCGGGGCAGTCATACGGTACCTTCAAATTCGGTATCATTCGATGACCAGCAGCACTGTTCCCGATTCAAATAGAAAGCTGCCGGACATAGGCCGTCCTTAAGATCTTTCATCCAGCCGGCACCGATATCGATGACACCGGCTACAGCACCGGCCGATATACCCACCAACAGTACGCATAGCCAGCCGCTCCAGGCGTCGTGCGTTGATTTCAATAGTTCAACAATCGAGTTGTGCTTACGTTTGACAATAAACCGATGGCGCATACGATCTCTGGCTATATCCCTCTGCCAGTCGATGGTATGAAAGTCTTCGTAGTGGCTCTGGATGTGCGGTAATTCGCCGTCCAATTCTAGAGTCAACCGAAACAAACAATCAAAAAAAATAATAATTAATTAATTACTAATTGATTTTTAATTTTCATCAAATAACTACTATTGTATGTAATAATAATAATTGAATAAATAAAATCATTTTTTTTTGTTTTTTGTTTTTCATATAATGGTAAGCAATGGTTAGGTGACGGTATCTCTCTCTCTCTCTCTCTCTATATATATATATATATATGTTTGTATATATCATATAATTTATTTTGGGAACAGACCTCTGGTAGGACTGCTATTATTATTATTATTATTATTATTGTAATTATTGTTTGAGTATTTAATAAATTTATCAAATTCAGTAAATGATGATGCTGATGATGAATTAGATGATGATGATGCTGTAATGGTAGATATGTTTGTGGCACTGTTAGCATAATTATTGGTTGTTGTTGTTGATCCAATGGTTGTCGGCTTCTGTATGTGTTGGTAGTGGCCATCACTAGTATCGCGATCACTGTCACTACAAGAGGTAGTACTTTGGTTAACACTTTCGGTATTGTCTAACTCAATCAATAGGCCCGTGGAAGCACTGGTAGTAGTAGTAGTATCAGCACTTGTATTAGCAACACATGCAGGTTGTGGTGGTGGTGGTAGTGGTAGTGGAGGAGTAGTAGTACTAGACATTGCACCGCCTAATGGTTTTTTTGTGGAGGGGGTAGAAGACACCGAAAATTAAAAAGAGATACCGATTGTTATAAAAAAAATTTTTTGTAGTTATATCAGTACACTATGTGTTTAAAAAAAATATTATTATTTAAAAAACTAATAAAATTAATATTAAATTTTTTGTTTCATACAGTTATTCAATATCCCATTCAAAAACATTTATAATAAAATAAAAACATTTAAGTCGTCAAACATTTTAGTTATATATATATACTGTAATTAATATATATATATATATCGCTGATAACATGTGTGTTATCTTTAGATATTAGATATTTATATTTTGATATAAAAATATAGTCATAGAAATAATTGTTTAAAAAAATTAGATTAGAAACACATGTATTATACATGTATATCATATATAATAATAATAATAAATTCAAAAAACAGTTATTATTATTATTATTATTATATTATATTACAATAATATTAATTAATAAATAATATCTTATTTTTTTTCATAAGTCATTGACAGCTATAAATTATTTTATAATATAATAATTACCGGTATATTACTGTACTATACACTGGTATAGGAGACTATTAAACATTTTTTTTTTTTTAAATAACTATTTAGTTATCAAAATATATTAATAATATATTTGATTGTATTATTAAAATAAAACAAGTCATCAAAAAAAACAAATAAAAAATAAATATTTTTTTGTTTGTTTTTTTTTGTTGTTGAATATCATTGAGAAACACATCATCACAAATACAATGGCAAACACATGTGATATCATATACAGTCATATACTGTATATTATCACCAATTAATTGGTGGACAACTTGGATGACGGTTTGATTGATTGATTGGCAGATAATCGGGTGATATATAATTACCTCTATTATCGGCTAAACCGGCGGTACCGCCGCCGCCGCCGCCGCTACCGTTGATTGCGGCGGCGGACGAGGACATCATTGAACGACCGGATTTAATATCTATAATATCTTCATCATTGACATCAATGACAGCCGCGGCAGCCGAAGCTGATCCGCCACCAGTCGATTGACTTCTTAGGGTATCAAACGATGAATAATTATCAACTGATTGGCCACTGTTTGAAAGCATCACTTTTTCATCTGATTTCTTCTTAAATATCTTATTCTTCTTCGATGGCGACAACATATCGGACAATCTTCAGCAGCAGTTGATCCATACTTTTGATTCAATTAATACATTATATAAATCACTGATATATCATATCATATCATATCATAAACTGATCACTACTTCAATGTTGTTGTCGTTGTTGTCGATGTTGTTGTCATTCAAATGTAGTGATGACTCAAACAATATTTTTCTATTCAATAGATTTTACTGTAATTTTTTACAGTGAATTACATTCAATACATATATTAATAATAATATATTTTGTTTGTTTGTTTGTTTGTTGATATTTTCAATGCAAACTCAATGAACATTGTCTACACCCGTTGTCTATAGAATGTGTATGGACATTACTTATTGTACACACACACACACACACACAGTCAAACACCTATACAGTGCCTACCATTTGAAATACTTATGCATTGATTTTATTTATATATTAAATATATTATATATACTCTATATATATATATATATATTTTAATATACAGAGTATTGAAAAATTGATTTATAATAATAATAATAATAATTAAATTAAATCATAAAAAATAGCATAACATAAAAATTATGTATAGTAAGTAAATTTAGCTAGGGGATAATTCAATTTTTTAAAAATAAATATTTTACTATTTTTTTTTTAGTTAAAAAATATTTTTCTTTAGTAAATATATTGTAAAAACTTTTGTATTTTTTTTAAAAAATTAAATTTTATACATACTAAATATAATAATAATAATATTTAATTAATTAATTAATAAATTAATATTAGTTAAATTATCAAAGCACAAACTTACTTTCAGTATTATTGATAGATATCTTATTTAATATATATTTAAACATTTAAACAATAAATTAATTAAAAAAAAATATATTTTAAACAATTTAAATAATATTTATATATATATAATTAAAATATCTTATATACTATTATATTGATGATATACAGTATGAAACAATACAAAATAATTACTATTAAAAAATTATTATTATTATTATTATTACATATTATTAGCTTAATCATAAATTATTTGGTTATGTCATATATATATATATATATACAGTATTATTATTATTATTTTGTCTATAACTTTGACATATATTTTTTCAACAACAAAAAAATTATATAATATATTAAAAATGATAATTTAGTTTTTTTATCTACTTAAATAAACTACATTAGAAATAAAAACAAAAAAAAAATCATAAAGTTTATAATAATAATAATAATAACATAAAAATTTTTATAAAAATTGTCGGTTTTTTATTTTATTTTATACTTTAAAATTAGTAAATTTTATTTTATTTAAAAATTTATATATAATATAATATAATATCACATTTCCTATTATCATAATTACTGTATTACAACTACATTATAATATTTCATTCAATATTTATTTTTATATGTACTGTATTTTACTGCTAAATATTTGTAATTATTATAAAATGTTTATACATTACGTTTTAATATATATATATATATATATAAAACTATTATTAGTGGGTGAGTGGGTGAGTGAGTGAATGAATGATAGAGAGAGAGAGAGAAAAAAAATATTAATTATAGGAAAATTACCGGAGATTTTCAATATATATTATATACTAATAGACAAATAGTTATAAAATAAATTTTTATAAATAATTTAATATATAAATAGTTATAATATAAGTAATATATATATATATGAATCATACTTTTCATTTTGTAATCACATTTATTATACTATGAAGTGCTGATTATTATTATTATTATTAAATATTAATATTTTTTTTTTAAAAATAATTTATTTAATCATTAATTGATGTTTAGCTGTCTAGTGATATTTAAAATTAAGATTTTATCAATTTTTTTATATCAACTAAAACACTGTTTTTAAAAAAAACTTGTCTCACATTTATATCACTGAAAAACACTTTTTTTAAAAAAAAACTTTTAAAATATTTTTTTTAAATGTATTACTTCCCACTTTTTAAGATAAAAAAACTCAATTACATATAAATATTTAAATAAATAAATAGTTTTTAAAGTTTACAACAACAACAACAAGCTATTAAAATTAATCATCGATTAAAAAACATATATTAATATAACATTTTTTTCATATATGATATTAATATATATACAGCTATATAATAGTTTGTATTTTTTTAATTACTACTTTAATTTTATAGCAGTATTATAATTATTATTAGTTTTTTAAAACAAAATTGTTTTTAATTGGCACTTCAAGCATAATATAAAATTATTATTATTTTTTAAAATATATAAAAATAAATTATGTTTAATGAACCGTTGATTGCAAATAAACCTTATGTTTAATTATTATCATATAAATACTATATAAATATTATATATATTTTTTTAGTTTTAATTATAATAACAAACAAACCATATGAATCAATATTTATTAATACCTATATTTATTAATAATAATAATATTATATTTTTGTTATTTGTAATGTATGTGTCAAATACAMAYACACACACACACACACACACACATTAGTATAAACATTGAGCCTGATCAAATAGCTTAAATAATATTTTAAGTGTAATATTTAACATAATATTATTATTAATAATAAAAAAATAGTCAAAACCAGTAAATACGAGAATATATATTTACATATATATAAAAAAATTGCATTTAAATTATTATACAGTATATACATTACATAGTCATTATATATATATATATATAAATTTTAAAAATTTATTTAGCGTTAAAAATATATTATCCAAATATATAATTTACCTATAATTTGAAATTCAATGCTAAACATGTCTACTAATAATATACAGTAAAATATAAATTGCATAATAATGCAATTAATATTTTTTAGTAGAAATTTATTTTTAAAACTGTTTATTTTAACGCTAGATATTTTTATAAAAAAAATCAAACTTAAACAATCAACATGTTTAACTAATAAATTTACCATGAAGCAATTAATTTTTTAAAATAAAAGTTTTAATAATCATCAATCACATTTGTTTATTTAAATCACAAACAAATTATATAAAAAAAACTTTTTTGAATCCATTATTTTATTATATAATAATAATAATAAATAAACATTTTTTTGGAAAATAATTATATATAAAAAAAGATAATTCATTTTTTTTTATTAATAAGAAATATATATTTATTTATATATATATTTATTGATATATATATATATAAAAAACTATAAATACTATATAAAATATTTGGTATATTATTATTATTTATAAAAAAAACTAATAATTTTATGGCACTTGAGGTGATAGATAGGAAATAATATATATATATCATAAGTTAGGATATGTTAAGTGATATATAAATTTAATTTTATTTATTTTTTTTTTAATTAATATATTGATATTAAAAAAAATATATAAAATAAATTTTATATATAAAGTGTGCGATTTTAATGGCAAATAAAAAAACAGTCCGTTTTCAGAGTCAGTTCCTCTCTCTCTCTCTCTCTCTCTCTCTCTCTCTCTCTAAACAAGTGTCGGATTTTTCTTATTGTGGTCACGATTGTGGCTACTGTTGTTGCCGATGGTGGTGGTGGTTGTGGTAGTGATGGTCGTATGGGTGGTGACCACTGCTGTACTACTGTCCGACCGTCGGTGATCATCATACCATGAGATCAGTTCATTGGTAAATGAATCGCTGACAATCATCTGGGATTTTAGCGACTCGTTTAGCGGTGATTGTGGCGATTGAATGGTATTTAACTGAGATATTTCAGTCTTGGATGGAGTGGTCAGATGATGGTGATGGTTGTAGTGGTGGTGGTGTAAGTGTTGATAATTATTTTTATCGCCAATAAGTGTATTATTATTATTATTAATGTTATTGTTGTTATTGCAGTTTTGATATATTGGCGATAGACTGGTCGGTGTGTCAGCCGATGGTAACGGTGTGGTACTATTACACGACGATATGGAGCTAACCGATTGCCGTGATTGGCGATTACCGGTACTATTGTTGTTGTTGTTGTTATGCTTTTTGCTGTACTTATAAAAGTCGGACAACTCGAACGGCTTTTCCTCTTCCCAATAGGGCTGAAATTGGCCAACACTTACAACGGTTACTTCGACACCGTTACCCGACGGTATAGTCGGCGACATTGGTATTGGAGTCGGTTTATTGGTTGTTTGTTGATAGTCTCCGCCGCCGCAGCCGTTCAGTGACCACTTGGAACTGATGGACGCAATTGAGTTGCGATTGTTGTTGTTAATCATGTTTAATGTACTGCAACTGCTGGCATAGGATGGTGTGGGCGATGATAGTGCCGGCGGTGGTGGTGTTGGCAGTGGCGGTGATGGTGTAGTCGAGTGAGACGATGACAGTGTTTCGGGTGCTGATGATGATGACACCGACGACGACGACGATGTGGGCATCATATGTGCCATAGTCTGGACATTGACGTACAACTCTTTGGACGGATCAGAGTTGTTTGCCGCAGCCGCCGCGTTGTCAATGGTGGCCATAATATGGGCGGTATTTACGTAGATATTATGAGAATCGTTGGCAAGTATTGTCGTTGGTCTTGTTTCGGCGGTTTGGTTTTGTTTTGTGGGCAACACAACAAAGTCAAGCGACGTTTCTGTCCACGACTTGAGTACCGGTAGTGGCGGCGATGGTTTAGTAGTGCACATCCGTTCATCGCTGATGAACATCGAGTCCTGGCGTTTGTGCGATATAATTGGCGTTTTGTTTGATGTGACCATTGATGGCATATTAGTAGTACCGGTAGTATTGGTAGTAGTAGTAGTAGTAGTCATCGAAGTCTGACTACTTATTGGACCCGAATTTATCCTATTTCTTAGGGAAACCACCGATGATTCCTTCTCATGATAGTAGTTGTTGTTGTTGTTGTGCTGCTGATGATAATTGTGTTGTTGTTGATGATAATGATTCGGATGTTTTTGGTTTATGTCTTGAGACCCATTGTTGTGATGATGACGAAACTTGTGACTATCCATATCATCAGTGGCGGTGATATTATCGGTGATCACCATTTGGGCCGATCTTAATGGAGGAATAACTTCTTGGCCGATGATAATGCCGGTAATGTTTTCATAGTCGTGAGATGATTCACTTCTTGAAAAGTGACATTTGGTGGTTATTGACGGCGACAACGGCGGCGGCGATTCTATCGGCAGTGTTGGCAGCTGTCTCTGTGCCATCGGGTTTATCATTGTTGTTGTAGTAGTAGTAGTAGTTGTGTTAGTAGTGGTACCGGTAGTTAGTGTAGTCGGTGATGGAGGACAAGTAGAAACATCTGACTGATGGTTATCGGTAAGTGATGTACGACTCAATCGATAAGCTAATGGATAATGATTTTGATAGTGTTTGTGGTGCTGTTGTTGTGGATCAGTTGATGTAGAAGAAGAAACTACTACTGAATTGGTTGGCGAATGATATGACTCGTAAGTACTATCGCTTCTCCGTCTTTGCTGATAATGACTACTATTATCCAGACTATTACTTCGCAACAACAGAGTTATCATATTATCATTTTGCAGACACTGGCGATGATGTTTGTTGTTGACAACTGCCGGTACTAACGGCTCTTTGAACTGATGCTTAACTGGCGATCGGATCAGTAGTGTAGTGTCGTCTTGGCTTTTGATGGCAATAGATGTACGTCTATTGGGAACACTATATAGATTGGAACTGTCAGTCAAGTGTACGGATGTTTCAAATTTATTAATATATGTCGACTCCTCCGCCATTAACAGCCGTTTTCTATTAATTTCTTGTTGTTGTTGTTGTTGGTCATCATCGGCTAAATAGATGACACTTCCATTACCACAGCTGCTGGCGATATCGCTATTGCTGGCAAAGACATCGTTGTTGTTGTTGTTGCTGTTGTTGTCTGCTTCAAGATTGCGTAACATTTCGTTGGATTCTTCATCGGTATCGTAATCAAAACCACAACGACGACGACGATCACCCGGTTCAGAGGCGGCGGCCGCCGATCGCGGCCGTTGTTGTTGTTGGATAGCATTAGTGCGATTCACTAGCGATATGACTGACGGCGATAGTGGTCGTCGTCGTCGCTGTTGATGATGATCGACATCTTCTTTGGCTGTTGATGACGACGGGTTCGGTGTCGACGGTATAGATCCAGTGTATAGACTGGCAGTTCTGCGTACGGAAAACTCCGATTGTTTGCTGGTCTGGTTGTTGTTGTCTTCGGTAACGAAAAACTTGTTCAAACTGTTGCCACACTTTTCCAGTTGTTGTGTTGTCGTCGACGACGACTCGTCAGTCGAATGGCTCATATTGTCGTCGCTTAGATCTTCGGTTGACTGATGACTACTACGGCGTCGGCTAGATTTGGTTGATAGTTGTTGTTTTGAGGCCGCAATTTGACGCCTGACCACAACCAGCCGGCCTTCCAGGTCTTTGAGTTTGGCCAACGACTGTTGGTAGGCGTGTTTGCGCTGACGGCGCGCAATCTTCTTGGTAGTACCATCTTTGGCCAGTCGGGCGGCTGCGGCCACTATTTTACTTTGAATTTCGTACTCCAGTTCCAGTTTCATTAGATTTGCTTCCTGTTTGGTCTTTGGTTTTCCAATCAGTTTGCTGTTGTTTAGCGTAAATCCGGTACCCACTCGACGTCTGATTACTGGAATCGGTTCGTTGGCATTCAATGGTGTTTCGGGCGGCAATTCACCGGTCAGTTCCTATCAATAATAATAATTTAAACAAAATTAAAAAATATGATTGAAAATAACCATTAATTTTCAAAGAGTTATCCGATTCGGACAGACAACTAACTAACCCCTTCCTTCAGACACAACTCTTTCAATTCTTTCAACTTCTTGTTCATGGCTTCTTCTAGTGCTTCCTTACGTATCTTTAAGGCGTCAAACATTTGTTTTTGTTGATTACGTTTATTGGTTTCAAGATTATCCAGTGTTTCGTTTTCAATACAAAGCGCTGGCAGACTATGGGAACTGATTGTCCGCTGATGATGATTGTGATGATGATGATGATGGGGTTGTTGTGATGAGGAACCGGTGGTTAGCTGACTCCGCGATGATGAAGAACCAGATGATCGTTCGGATCGTTCGACAAACGCCTTGTTGGCGGTAAGTTCGTCGGCAATCTGATCCGCCGATCGCCAATTCAGATGATTTTTCGCAGTAACCGAATTGCGCCGATCAATGTAGAACTGATGCTGGGCTACGGCCATCGACCAGATACACTTGGTCAGACACGGATTGGCGGCAAACCATACATAGACGGTAACATTGCACGGACCGAACGTACGCCGGCTGACCGATACCTGGGTTGTCGGATCGGTTATGGCCGACGACAGATCGTCCACCAGATCGCCTCGGGATTCTTCGATAGCATTTTCGTAGAGATTAACCGACGACAAGGCGTGGACAACGCGTTTCGGATCGCGTACTTCGATCGAAAACTTTTTCTCCCGAAAGTACAGATTTTCCAATTGTTTCCATAGAAATGTTCGGCGAGGTATACGCCGATCGGCGTAATCAAACTGATCGATACCTTTGTAGCTCAGCCCTAGCCAGTAGGGTATACCCGATTTGTCCCGGACTTCGTAAAAGTGTACACCGTAGGTCGGCTGTTTTTCAATCAGCGACATATACTTGACTATTGATTGGCCGCGTGTCTGACCCGTTAGTTGGCGATAATGGCCAATGATTTTCTCTTCGCAAGCCGCCAACGATGGCAACTCTTTCAGCAGATATGTCGGTATCAGTTGCTGTTGGTGTCGCTTGAGTTGATTCTTGCATTTGCTATCGTTATCGTCATCATCGGTATAATCACCGTACGTTGCCTGCATGACCAGTGCCGACAATTGCCAACCAGTATCCTGGTCAACTTGGATAACTTGATTGGCCACCAGGGATCGGGCTTGCAAATAGAATAGCTCGACACTCGAAGTATCCGTCAATTGGACAACAGTTTGGACAAAATATTTGACCAGAAAATGTAGTACCAGTTTATGGCCACTGTTGGTAGCCGTGGCCGCCGCGTGTCGTTTAGCCCATTCGTGATCCAGGACACGCTTATCGAGATTAAGCCACGAGTACTGACCGGTTTCATCCAGAAAAGCCAATCCGAAGTATTGTTTTTCTTTCAGCTGGAAGTGCGAACAGACAATATCGAAGAGATCGCCGGCAAACAGTTTCCGTTGTATTATCAGTTCAACCCGACGGCCGTCCAATAGGATTACTTCGCTACGGCGGCCATCGCCCGGTGCTGCCGATGCCGACCCAGACATCTTTGCCAGCGATGATTTGATTACCATTTATTTAGCAGTTAAGTAGTGGTAAACCATTTGGTGATAATAATTATTATTAAAAAAAAACTTTTTTTTTCTTCAATGATATCTTCAAGTTTTGTGGAAACTTATTATCAATTGATTGGGTGTTATATATGTGTTGATGTTGTGTACTGACTGTAGTTGTCATCAAAAAACTACTATAATATAACTAAACAAATATAAAATAATAAGTAAAATAATAATAAATAATAAAAATTAATTATCACATAAAAAATTGTTTATAAGTTAGTCATAGGCATTGAAATTATATATAATTATTTACTTAATAATAATAATAAGATATATAACATAAACATTATTAAATTGTTGGATAAAAAGTTGGCAATAATTGTAATAATAATAATAATAATAATAAGTTGGGTATTAATTTAATACCCATTGACTTTTAATACATATTTAATACATACATATGTGTATATTATATATATCACAATTAATATATGAAATAATTATAATTAACAGTACAACTAATGTATTTAATATAAATATATTTTATCATATCTTATATTTCTCTCTCTCTCTCTCTCTCTCTCTCTCTATATATATATATATATATATATATATATATCTATAATAGCAGTAATTATAATGACTGTAATAAAACATAACAACACACACACATACACATAAACACTGGCATTAATTAACATTACATTACATACCAATACATTATATATGATATAAAATACTGTATTATTTTTTTTGCGGCTAATATACAGTACACAGACAACACATATACACACTTATAGTTAAAATTAGTTAATCAACTGTTGATAATAATAAGTTTTTTTTTGTTGACAATAACATATAGTAATAATAATAATACTAATACTAATATAATGATAATCAAAACTAAATTGTTAATTATTTTTTATGTTTTGTTTGATAAATACACATATAAGTAGACATTATAGACATACACACTATAAATATAACAAACAAAACAAACACACAAAAAAAATTATATCACATTACCTATGAAATCAAGTGAAACTTTATATATAATATATTTTATATATATTTTTTTTATATATCATAGACATTAAAAAAAAAAATTTATTTATTTTAAACAATAATGAAATAATAATATCATAAATGAAACTTAAATAACACAATAAAAATATAAAAAGTTTTTTTTCTGTAACTTTCAATTCACATCAACAAAAAAAACAATCATTACTTTTGTTTGGTTGTTGGGCTATACAGACAGTCAATGTAACCAAACCTCACAAAAAACTTAAACAATAAAAATCATTGCAAATAATACACACAAATAATAAAACTAAAAAAATTTTTTTTTTTTAAACTTAAACAATCATTTTGATAGGTATTATAAGGCAATACATACATACATACTGTGTGTATGTGTTGTGATGGCAATCAATGGTTCATTGAATGTCTAGTAGTGTTTGTATTGTATTGTATGTATGTATGTATGGGTTTAGTATTACAGTGAAGCCATTGGTTTATTATACACTGTATGTATACCTATCAATACATACATGTTTTGGCAGTTTTTATCATATATACGATACATACATACATACATACACTAAACAACAACAACACTACAGCATAGCATAGCATATGATTGGTATTTTTGAGAGAAAGAGAGAGAGAGAGAGAGAGAGAGAGAGAGAGAGAGAGAGAAGTTCGTTAATATATAATACAGTATATACTGTGTATATAGCTATTTGTGTACTAAAACATAATGTTTAACTACAGGTCCATTGGTATGCAATTATATGTATTGCCTCTCAAACATACTGTATGTATGTGTGTGTGTGTGTGTGTGTGTGTGTGTGTGTGTGTGTGTGTATGTGTAGAGCCAATGCCATAGCGTTTTTCATATACATATAAGTTAAGTGTAGTTAGTTATGTGAAACTATGCTATGCTAGCACTGGTAGTATAGCCCCAGAAAGAGAGAGAGAGAGAGAGCGCCAACACATTGACTGCATATAAAAAAAAAATTTTTCAATAGCACGGCAACACATTATTTATTATTATTATTATTATTATTATTATTACTAGTGCTGTAATACAGCAACTATAGTAAAACTCATTGCCTTATTATGTATTATATTATTATTATTATTATTATTTTTAGTATCATATGTTGCTATAAAATATTTTTCTCACTCGCGTTATACAAACATCCTATATATATATATATACACTATATATATACAGCTTATATATATACACTATATATATACAGCTTATATATATATTTACCGGTATATAAGCAATAATTATATATACTGTATATGTGTATATATATATTGTGTAAAACATTAATATACTATAGAGTTATGTATTATTATTTATATATATAAAAAAAACTGTTATATAATTTTTGTTTTATATATATATATAAAAAAAACTTGTTGTCACTTACATCCTAAACGTGACGACCCAAACATTTTTTTTTTATATTTTAGTTTTATTTTTATGATATTTTTTTTGTGGGCCAAACACAAAAAAAAACCAAACTTTATTTTCATAATTATTATATTATTAGTATATTTTTGTTGTTAATAATCTAATAGTATTTTTTTTATCTAGATATAATTAAACATTTTTGTTTTGTTTTAAATGATACCAAAAAATTTTAATTAGTTTTTTTTAAAAAATAAAATGCCATTAATTAAAATAAAACTAAAAATACAATTATCATAATAATTTATATTATAGTTAATCTATATCTATATATATTTAATTTTTTTTTTTTAAATTTAATATTAGGGCTTATTATTAACTATTAATATTTGTTTATTTTGGTTTACATATTGTATTTTTTTTGTGTGCCTATACATGGATACATACAATTGTATTGTATTATTAACACACATATATAGAAAAATTTTTAATAATTAAGTACTGTTTAAATAAATATGGATATCATATAAAATAAATATAAATATTTAATAAAAATTTTCTGATAAAAAATAAATAATTTTTTTTATCTCTATTATAAACATTAAACAATAAATATATATAAAGTAAATAATATGAATCATAGAAAATATGATATATAAATATATTTATTGGATTTTTCTGATAGTGATATATATAATCCATATAATAAAAAAAAATTAGTAATAAATATTTAGACTAAACAACAATAATAATAATCCCATAAAAACAGTGGAATATATATATATATATATATATTAAGGATTTTCTATATATAGACTAAAATTTTATTAAATCTAATTTTGTTGTGTCGTTTCAGATGATTTTGTAGACAATGAATATATACACAAAAAAAAATTGACAAATGTTTGTCGTTTTTATTATACATTTATATTTGTATATCAATAGGATTTCAATTATTAAATTGACTATTTTTTGTTTGTTTGTTTATTTAAAAAATCATTGAAATTAAATAAAATATATATATAATAAAATTTTTTATTTTAAAATACTATATAATAATAATCAGTATTATTATTATTATTATTATCAGTCATAACAGTAATATTACATTTATATACATTAAAAATTTTATTTTAAATACTATATATATTATATATAGTATATAATAATTATTACAATTATTATTATCAGTCATAACAGTAATATTACATTTATATATATCTATATATATATTGTGTAATCTATATAACTAGAAATTTAATCATTTAATTAGTTGTAAAATATTGTTAGATTTACAAACATTTTTTTCCACATAATTTTTTTTATTTATCTCATAATTTTTAATTCATGTGAATTTTTTGTTGAATGATATAATCATTATATTGATAATAATAATAATTTAAATGGAAAAATTATCAATATTATTATCATATATATATATATATATATATATATATATATATATGTATGTGTAAATATATATAATTGATAAACATATAATATTATTTAATATCTTTAAAAAAAATAAGATTATGATAATAAAAAAAATAACATACAATAATCATATTATATAAAAACTAAATAAAATTAATGTGTATACAAAAAAATTGTCTAAATAGTAATTTAATAATATAAATATTTATTTATAAAACATATAAACTTTTTTGTTTTATAATTACAAATTTTTAATCACAGAAACTTATCTAGTTTATTTTCTTATAATTATATATATATATATATATTTGTTATATAATATAATAATTGTTATATATATATATATATATATAATTCAGTATAGTTTAAATTTATTATAACCTTTTTTAAAAAAAATTATTAAAATTAACAAGCTAACATTTTTAAAAATAAATATTATTAATACGTACTAACATTTTGATTGCGCAACAATTATTATTAATCATCAATTTCATTATAATAGTGAAATAAATATTATAATTTTAAAATGATTTATTTAATAATAATAATAAATTTTCTTAACATTAGTAAATACATTAAATTTAATATAATTTATACAATCAGATATTATAAATTATTAATAAAATTATTATTAAATAATAATACAATAAACATAATTTTATTTAATATATTTTTTATTAATAACATTATCATTATTTATGGCCTTTACGATTAAACAAATTTTATCTTGACAATTTTATTACTGTATTATAAATTGAATAATTTAATTTTTACTGTATAATAATAATAATAAAAAAAAAATAATAATATTAAATAATTTATTTATTATTATTAATAATAATAATATTTCAAATTGAAAATTCGTGAAATGATTTTTATTAAAATAAAATTATTACTAATAAACTATCAATAATTTAACTGTAATATTAATATTAACTAAAAAAATATAATTAATTATTGTAAAATTGTTTATTAATTGTTTATTTGTTAGTTTTTAATATATCGTGTTTTAAAATATATATATAATTTTTATGTTATTTTTGTAATTAATTGATATTTATTAAATTATTTGAACAAAAAAAAATAATTTAATTTACTGTGAATATAATGTATAGAAATATATATATAATGTGTCAATGATTTTCACAAAATAAAAAAAACAACAAATTAAATAAAACAACAAAAAACAATAAATTTTTTTCTTAACTCTTTTTTATGAAAAAAATACTTAAACATATAAAAAAATATAGTATAGTATCGATCATATGATAATATATATATATATATATATATATATATAT